TATTACCGGACCACCACCGTCGGAGACCGACTTCCCATCCTGCTGCAGCCCACCCCCGGGAATATAGATCCGGCCACCCAGGCCGATAGCCTGGGTTCCATGGCGTGGGACGGGCATGGGCGCCACTTCGGTCCACTGCACCGACCGGGGACTATACCTCTCTGTCTGATTGAACACTCCCGTGGCAGCATCGACATTGCCTTCCCCACCGAATGCGTAGAAGTTGCCCCCAACGGCACCGCCCGACAAACCGCCGCGCGAAACCGGCATCCGAGCTGCGCTGACCTTCCAACCAGCTGCCAGGTCTGTCAGGTCCAGCTCAAACACGGTGTCCTTGTGGTAGAGCTGTCCGTACCGTCGGCCACCCACCACATAGAAGAAATTCCCAATGACCGCACCGGCCGCATGTTGGCGGCTTTCCGGGAGCTCGGCTGCAGCGGCCTCGAGTCGCTGCCAGGCTCCCGAGGTGGTGTTGAAGGCAACGACATTCGTGACCGCATCCTGGTACCCTGTCTGGAGCACCGTCATTCCACCAGCCAGGTAGATCATCCCCTCATGCACCCCAACCACCGCGCTGCCCTTCTCGGTGCCGCTCGGCATCGGAGCAATTTCACTCCAGGCATCCACGGCAGGATCATACACATAGCAGGCTCGAGTGGCTACCCAGTTCATGGTCAGGTCCGACGAGAGAGGAGCCTCGACCAGGCCGCCGAGCAAATACAATCTGTCGCCCACCCCAGCCGCATTTGCGTGGTTGACCTTGTGCGGTGCGGGCGCGGCAGTGTGCCAGGTGTCCGTGGTAACATCGTAGAGTTGCACCAGATCGGTCGTCGCCGTGCTGTTCGCCGTCGGAACAAGACCGCCGACAATGGCGATGATGGAGTCTCCTATCGCGGCGGTGGCGTGCTCTTGACGCGGCTGGGGCATTGAGGTGAGGTTTACCCACTGCCCGGGGCCGCACGAAGGCGCGGCGGTGGCGACGCCAAGCAGTCCGAGGACCATCAATCCCAGAGCGGAGCGGGAACAAGGCATGGTACAGTATTGTATGATTGGCTGAACGAGAGAAGATTGGGAAGTAGGGATGAAGAGGTGCTTGGTTTGAGAGTGTTTGGGAGGAGGAGGTGGGTTGTTTTCAGGACCTTAAATAATCCACAGATTTCGGGCGGTGGGTGATGCATAGATATGAGCTCAACAGGATGATCCCCTGATCTCTCTCATCGGATCCTCCTATCTCTTTTCTATTCGGTTTGTGGTTGCTTCATCGCTTCGGTAAGCAGTGAGCGGTCACTGAATCTGATAGATCATGCTGCGGAAATACCAATATTACCTCCTTCTACCGCAGATCTGCAAGTCCTAGTTCCATGCCCCCGGGCTGTGTACATTGCAAGGAATCTAGGGTAGATTTAGGAAGCCAGGACTGTATTCCATGTTGCTGAAACCAGGTAGTGTCAGCATCATGCAGTGGATCATGTGACGGAGTGTCCGGCCTCTCATTGGTTGGGCATAGAGACAGAGTGGTAAAGGACTGAATCTTTTTCCGAAACTTCAATATTCTGTATGCGGTGAACAGGCAACAGTCCACTCCTTGGCAAACCCAAGTTCAGTATGGCCGTGGGTAAGATTTTACGATAGGCTCTTGTTATGACTTCGTTATAAGTGACAAGTCAAGAATAGCAGCAGCGAATAGTAAATGGTGGTATACTCACAGTAACATTGTCTAAAAGAAGAAGGATTGGGAAGACAGTAACAGTGAGCTGATGGTTTATGTCAAGGCTGGAGGACAAAGCCGCAGGTAACACGGAGGGACCGATATGAACTTGGCTGACAGCCCCTTCATAACCGTCAAGCATGCCTTCACATAGACTCGTATACGTTCTCACACAACTTCCACATTTCTCAACAATCTATATACAAACAGAACCCCCCCACTCAACCCCCCTCCGCAAAACGTCTTCTAGTGCCACCTAAAGGACCCAAGTCCCTCACAGACACCCCTTTCCCCTACACCTACCTCCCAACCCTCCCTCCAGCCACCGTCTCTTCATGCTCCGAATAAGCATCCTTCTCCAAATCCTTCCCCCCTGCCTCCTCCCCTACTCCCGCCAACTCCTGCTGCACGGGAACGGGCTCAAACCCGACCTTGTACCAGGGCAGCGCCATCAACGCCCCCGTACTCTCCATACTGCGACCCTTGCACTCCGGGAAGGCGAAGAAGACCCAGATGGTACCGCAAAAGGTGCAGGCAGCGAACAGCGCGAACGGACCCCACGGGTGCATGGCGACGGTCATATTCGGGAAACCGCGAGTGATGCCGAAGTTCAATAGGTTCTGGTAGGTAAATGCCAGAGTAATGACGGTACCGCGCATGCTGGTCGGGCAGATCTCTGAGGCAGTCAGGGAGAACGCGGGGGCCCAGCCAAAGCCGTAGCCGACGGCGAAGACACACAGGGCGACGACGGCGATGATGGCTGCTGCGCCGGGGCTGCTGTTTGTGGCCGAGAGGTCGGCTTTGCCCAGGTAGGCGGCGATGTAGATCAGGCAGACGAGGTTGATGGCGGAGCCGGCGAGGAGGAGGGGCCGGCGGCCGAAGCGCTCGGTGAGGAAGAAGGCGTATAGAAATACAGACAGGAACTTGATGGTGCCATACACTGCGGTGAAGAGGAGTACTTTTGAGGAGTTGAAGCCAATCGAGGCCAGGATAGTCGGGGCGTAGTAGGTGATGCTGTTGCCGCCGGACATGATGAAGAAGGTCTGAACAAAGAGGACCAGCACCAGGACCTTGCGGAAGGTCGGGTCGGAGGCGAACTGCCGGCAGGACTGCTGGATGGACTTCCAGGGTGACTGGCCGGTGGTGGGAGCGTCCTCGCTGTGGTCGACTTTGTTGCGTAGTTCGGTGTACTCGCGGGCGAAATAGGGGCTGCGCTCGTCGAGTCCGCCACGCAGGCGGATGAGGTTGCCGCGTGCGGCGGCGACCTGGCCGCGCATCATGAGGAACCGGGGGCTTTCGGGACAGAAGGGGTAGCCCGCCAACAGGATGGTCGATGGGATGAGCTGCAGGATCATTGGGATGCGCCATTGCCATTCGGATCCCGCGGGGATGACCATCGTTACGGCGTAGTTGATCCAATACGCCCCGGCCACGCCGGACATAATCCCTGCGTTGTAGAAGGTGGACAGCATGCCACGGAGCTCAGTGGGCGCCACTTCGGAGATGTACACGGGGCCTGCTGAGTAGGCAATCCCGGACCCCAGGCCAGAGATGGTGCGGCCTACCATGAGTTCGGCCAGAGAGCCGAAGTTGACCGCCATGAGCAGCGCACCGATGGTGTATGTGATCGCAGCCAACAAGATCACCGGTTTGCGGCCACGACGTTCCATGATTGGACCGGAGAGGAGGATGCCTGCGGTTTGGCCCTTTGAATCGGTTAGTTGATCAGGAAGATGCCCCTGGGCGCTCTATATGCTCTTGTGGGAGATGTAAAGGACACGAAGGCTACTCGAAGCGACTCACCAGCAGCATTGAGGAGGTGACCCAGCCCTTGTAGTTGGTGACAGTCCCCGAAGAAAGCGAGCCCCAGCCGTACTCATGCTTGAAGCCGCTCATTCCCATCACGCCGGAGATGTTGGAAGAGTTGAAGCCGTGAAGGCTACCACAGTAGGAGGCCCAAATGGCAACCAGCCAGATGAATGCTGCTCGAGCTGGTTTGGGAACTTGTTTTAGGGCATCCTTGGAGATGCCTCCACCGGTGGCGCCCATGGAGACACAGATAAGTAAGACGACGAAATGCAGGAGATGATTGATGATGAGGCTGGAGAAAATGAATTCAGGTTCAGAGAGGTTGTTGTTCTGATAGAGAAGATCATTCCCGTCCTGCCAGGCTATAAGTGAGGGCAGGGAGGACTGCCCCAGACCACCAGTCTTGGCAATCTCATCATACACGTGAATGCTCACCGAAATCCCCACACCCAGCTGCGTGTGAAAACTGGGGAAATAGGACATAGGAGCTCTCCGAGCGGGCGTTTCGTGTCCTGGAGCATTCCGGGGGAGGGATTCTGCGGACGGCTGGTACGGGCTGGTCAGAATTAAAGGGAACCTGCTGATTCGCCACCACATACTCTTGAACTAATACTCTTGTGGAGTATTTCAGCCAATCGATGTCGGATGTAAAAGCTTGAATTCAATACAGCCTTTCCAATTCGAGGGCGCGGTAAGCGAGACGTTGCTACTGTCCGTGTGGACTGAATGGGCCCATGGTATGATCCGTTATGGTTATTGTTGATATCTGCATCGATCATGCAACTCAAAATCACACTCGCTGATACTTCTGAGTTGAGTCCTCAATCCTAGTGAACTTAGACGTTGACTATAAGTTCCATGGTAGCCTCGCGCTGGCTGGATACATTGTTAGGTCTTAGTAAATAAGCAAGAAGCCTTTATCGAAAGAGATTCAGCGCAGATTGATATTTGTATCATTTCTAAATCGTTATGGTCGAATGCATAAGCTGTGTACTGTCCACAATCAACACTGCCATTCCAGTGGCACCACCCGACTTCGAAGGGGAGGGGGGCCGTGCAAGAATGTGCTGCATCAGCTTCACGGTCCATCCCGTATGTATCACAGCGAACAAGGCATATGCCTGCCGTTTATACGGTCGCATTCTAGACTTCAAGACCATCCCCATCGATGATGGATGGATCCTTGGCACTGCCTCGTAGATTTCAATCAAGTGTTAAGGCCTGTTGAACTCGGAGTCACCGAGTCCCGTACCATAATACACAGTGTAACGATAATCATGTACTGTACTGTTCTACTGTTCTACTGTCTCTCAACTTAACCCCGCAGTGCAAGAGTGAGGGAATCATCCTCTCATGTCGCTGTCGGACATGACACCTGTTTTTAGGTTCATTAGAACGTAGAAAGAAAAGACGAGACATCATCCGAGTACTTCTATATCCCTCACAGTACACCAGTCATGAGATTGTTCTATGTTTAATGCTATTATTCAGAGTCAAAACGACTGCGTGAGGCAGGGTTAGGTGAAGAGATGTACTGTACTGTAATTCTGGTACAGACCCCGGAGTGCTCCGCATGCTACTACCCCCTCTTCCTGGTGAATTACTGGTATTGGAGCTCCACTTCCAGTACGAGTTGTAAGTTTCCCGACAGTTCTTTCGCGGCTGACAAGAGGAGTCTGTATTGCTCTAATCCCCTCAACATCATGACCTCTATAGTCAAAGCAGTTTCTATTTCAGGTTCAGATTACTTGATTGCTTGCTGGCTGGACCTCCACGCTCTTCCACTTAACCGTTTGCTCGATGACCTTTTCATAGATGGTGAAACTCACCGCACCGGAGATCTGTCTGCGTTACTACCACACTCGACAACCAGATGGTAACCGGGGAAAGAACCTACACTCAACCGAGCCAGACGAGGCGTCGTCCCCCGCCACAGCGAGGTGATGCCCTCCTGACGGATGACCGACTGCACGCAGTCGAGCGTCCCCTTGTACCGTTCCAACCCCCCAATCGCCTGCAAGCGCGTCTTGATCGCATCGAACGGCATCGTCATGTACACCGTCACCACGCCGGCCAACGCCCCCGCCCCTGCCGTGCTCAGGGACGAGGGCAGCTGCCAGGCGCGGAACTGGCCTAGCAGGAAATTGTAGCTAGTGAACCGTACCATCGCGTTCGCCGACTGCTTCATCGTGACGGGGACGACGCCGCGATAGAGCCCCGCGACGCCCTCGGTCGCCGCGATGGAGCGGATGGCATGGATGGCCGATCGGTATTGCTTCGCTCCAGCGCGGTCGTCGATGATCTTGGTCTTGAGAGTCTCGCCCGGCGTGACGACGGCGACACTCTCGGCAACTCCAGCGATCATGCCAGCGCCGAGATTGCCGAGAGAGGTCACCTTGCCTTGCGCGTCGACGGGCATATACTTGCGCGCGGTGTCGAAGGCGAAGAATCGCACGCCGGACTTGGAGGCGTTCGAGACGCAGAAGGCCATGCTGCCGGTGTAGAGGTGGCCGAGGCCATGCTGGCGGATGGTGCTGAGCAGCAGGTGCAGCGGGTTGGTCTTTTTGGTCTGTAGTTGTTGGCTGGTCTTGAGGTACTCTGTTGGATACTATTGAGGTTCACGTAAACCGTGGTCAGTGAATGTGGCTGTAGGGTTGGGATTGTGGTTGGGTGTATGGATGCATACCGTGAGAAGACTTTCAAACCCGCCGGCCGCACCACCTGCCACTATCGACTGCCATGGGCTCACTTGCTTCTTTGAAGTCATTTTGTACGCTTGAGTCTATTGTAGCGCCTTGCTCCAGAGTTTCATCTGTGTATATCTATATCTTGTGCCGCCGACTCGACGATGCCGATCGCGGAGTCACCCGAGCTGGAGCACTCCGATACTGCTCTTCTCACCCATGATCACCGCAACCGCACTGCTTATCTATAGTGTCCAAGTAGACAAACAGAGTTCCCTTCTTACCTGACATAGATGTCTATTCATTCTACCTTAGTGAACAGCTCCAACCTCGCCTCAACATGACCATTGCCGACCTCTTCCCGCATGGTTGCTGGGACACGCACCACCACATCTTCGACCGTAAGCCACTGTCTCCTTAACCCCAAACCCAGAGAATTCCACTAAATATAGAGCAACAACAGCCTCACAATACCCATACGCCCCGAACCGCCACCTGACCCCCTACCCCGCGACCATCGCCGACTTCCTCGCCTTCAAGCGACGCCTGGGGATCACCCACTCCGTGCTCACACATGGCCTCTCCTACGGCGACGACTGCACCTCGCTGACAGGCTTCACGGCGGAGCTCAACAAAGCCAGCGACCGGACCACGACCAAAGCGATCGCGGTCATCGACCCAGCAACCATCACCACCGACGAGCTACAGCGCATGCACGCCGCTGGCGTGCGGGGCATCCGCGTAAACCTGTACAAGTACGAGGCGTTCCACAGCCTCGAGCGCCAGAAGGTGGCGCTGCAGGCGCACGCGCAGGCGCTGGACGCCCACGGCCAGCCGCACTGGATCATGGCGTTCACGCACCCGCACACGGAGTTCTGGCCGGAGCTGAGCGCCTGGCTGGCCCAGGGACATCTGCCGGACACGATCCGGCTGGTCACGGATCACTTTGGCCTGCTGAAGTGCGCGAGCATGCTGCCGGCGCAGTACGAGGGGGATATCACCCGGCAACCCGGTTTCCAGGCGATCATGGAGCTGGTGCGGCAGGGCCGGTTGTTTGTCAAGCTGAGTGCGCCGTACCGGGTGAGTAGTCTGGGTGGCGGATATGAGGATGTGGAGCCGTTGGTGAGGGCGTATTTCGAGGCGAATCCGCGGCAGTTGGTCTGGGGGAGTGATTGGTATGTATTTCTACCCTTGTTCGGGGACGGAGGATCTTGGATTATGGTGATTGTTGGGTGGGAGAGATGGAGCTGATGGTCAACAGGCCCCATACGCCCCATATGAAGGTTCGTACGCCCGAGGAAGCCCTCAAGCCGACGCCGTATCTGGAGGTGGATGACTTGGCGTGGTTGCAAAGTCTGCGGTCGTGGTTGTCGGAGGAGGAGTGGCACTTGCTGATGGTGGAGAATCCACGGAGGTTGTTTGATTGGTGAGAGTGAGGCTGTCCCTGGGTTTGACGGGTGAAAGCCTCCGTGGGGAGTTTCCAATGTATATATGACTATCCAGCTTTCAGACATAATCTACAGCAAGTCCCTACGCAGCATTGCCGAGTTTTTACTTTGTGAAAGCCCTCAGATGGCTCTATCAAACTGTACATAGCAGATGCCGTGACATGAGGAGACCTAGACTATCAAAGCCCATGGCGAAACAAGCTTTGCATATGTCTCTTGTACAAATTGTGCTTATGCTTTAAAGCTGCAGCAGAAGATGGCCACGAAGACAATCCCGAGACTCCGAGCTGCCGAGAACCGAGGCCCGGCCGAGACAGCCGTTGGAACAATCCCGAATGACGGAATGCCGATAGAAGCTGAGGAGAAAACCCTACCAACCCATCGGGACAACCTGACGAACAGTGGCTAATGCTTGCACTGGTACCTATCTAGACTCCCACACAAACTAGCCCTGCACTAATTGCATGCGGGACGATACCATGTCTGCGGACATTCATACTCTGTCTGTCAAAGACTCCACCAGACCCGCCCTGTGCCGATCCTCCCGAGCATAGTTACTATCAGTATCCCTACTTGACTCCCATTTGAAGCTACCTTATCCTTCTAGAATCCAGTCCGAACCCCCGAGCGTCCGCAACCCGACCCGCCAACCTGTTTCAACAATGGGGCAATGAGCCTTCTGGAATCGCGTGTTGTCGGAGCTCAGAGTGGCAGATTGGATCCAGCCTGTTATATAAGGAACGAACCGCCTCGAGTCCACGGCTTTCTCCTCATCACAACACAGCTCCCCATCACTTGCACCACCATCCCTAAGATCAACGACAATACACTGCCACCTCACGAACACACAACAATGGCCTCCCAGTTCTCCGTGGACCATTCCTTCCGCGCCTTCGTCGAGGCCCTCAAGGCCGACGGCGATCTGGTCGAGATCAACACCGAGGTGGACCCCCACCTCGAAGCCGCCGCCATCACGCGTCTCGTCTGCGAAACCGACGACAAGGCGCCGCTGTTCAACAACCTGAAGGGCATGGGCAAGGACGGGCTCTTCCGCATCCTGGGCGCCCCGGGCTCCCTCCGCAAGTCAAGCAAGGACCGCTACGGCCGCCTGGCCCGCCACCTCGCCCTCCCCCCCACCGCCAGCATGAAGGAGATCCTCGATAAGATGCTCTCGGCCAGCGAGCTGGCCCCGATCGAGCCCACCGTCGTCCCCACCGGCCCTGTCAAGGAGCACTCGCTCGTCGGCGACGAGATCGACCTCACCCAGCTGCCCGTCCCCATGATCCACCAGGCCGACGGCGGCAAGTACATCCAGACCTACGGCATGCACATCGTGCAGTCCCCGGACGGGCAGTGGACCAACTGGTCCATCGCGCGCGCCATGGTACACGACCGCAACCACCTGGTGGGGCTGGTGATCGAGCCGCAGCACATCTGGCAAATCCACCAGATGTGGAAGAAGGAGGGCAAGGATGTGCCGTGGGCGCTGGCGTTCGGCGTGCCGCCGGCGGCGATCATGGCCTCGTCGATGCCGATCCCGGACGGGGTCAGCGAAGCCGGGTACGTGGGCGCGATGACCGGCCGTTCCCTGGAGCTCGTCAAGTGCGACACCAACAACCTCTATGTCCCCGCGAACGCGGAGATCGTCTTCGAGGGCACGCTGTCCATCAGCGAGCGTGCCGACGAGGGCCCCTTCGGCGAGATGCACGGCTACGTCTTCCCCGGCGACACCCACCAGTGGCCCGTGTATAAGGTCAACAAGATCACCTACCGCTCCAACCCCATCTTGCCCATGTCCGCCTGCGGCCGCCTCACCGACGAGACCCACACCATGATCGGCGCCCTGGCCGCCGCCGAGATCCGCAAGGTCTGCCAGCAGGCCGGCCTGCCCGTCACCGACGCCTTCTCCCCCTTCGAGTCCCAGGTCACCTGGGTGGCGTTGAAGATCGACACGGCCAAGCTGCGCGAGAGCAAGGTCACCGCCAAGGAGTTCCAGAAGCAGGTCGGCGACGTCGTCTTCAACCACAAGGCCGGCTACACGATCCATCGGCTGGTGCTCGTCGGCGAGGATATCGACGTCTACAACGGCAAGGATGTTATGTGGGCTTTTTCGACACGCTGCCGCCCCAATGCCGATGAGACCTTCTTCGAGGATGTGCGCGGCTTCCCTCTGATTCCTTACATGGGCCACGGCACCGGCTCCCCCGTGCAGGGCGGCAAGGTCGTCTCCGACGCCCTGATGCCGTCGGAGTACACGACGGGGGCGGACTGGCAGGCGGCCGATTTCGAGAACTCGTATCCCGCCGAGTTGAAGGAGCGGGTGCGGGCCAAGTGGGAGGCGATGGGCTTCAGCAAGTTGGAGTAGAGTGGTCGGTGGCTTGGATTATAGATTATAGATTGTATAGAGCTGAATCTTGTACAGTGAATGGATGTATATTACGTTTATATCTGATGTATTCAGTAGGTTAGGGTTCAGACCCCGGCAACATCCCGCAGGACTCATACAACCCTCCCGGTAAGTGAATTCCGTCACAACGTAAGCCCACTTCCCCGTTTAGATAAGTTCGATGGAAGTAGATGGTGGAATTCGTGAACATCGAGCAGACAAAAGCACGCAGTTGTATTAAATACGATTAGGACTATAGTACAGTACGCTGGTGAGCGTGTTGGGGTTCTAGGAAGCTACTAGGTAGTGACTAGACCAGTCCCCTCCTACAATCTCCCCACACCGGCGTGAGCAGTCACATTGGCGGGCACCTCGGCAACGCCCACATGGCCGATGAGGTACTGCTTGAACTGGGCGAACTCGGTCAAGACGGTGGCATCGGTGCGATCGGGCCAGCTGCCGGAGCCACTGGCGCGGTTCCATTCACAGATATAGCCGAGCTGGCTGGTGCAGCCGCTGGCGGCGGCGACGGTGGAGGTGGTGTACAGCTGGCCGCCCTTGGTCAGCGAGTCCGGGGTCATGGGGGTGGTGACGGTGTCGAAGTAGTTGCCCTCGAGCAGCAGGCGGGTGTTGGTGTCGACGTCGAAGGCGTGGCCGCCGACGTTCTGGAAGTAGTTGTTGACGCCGTGGAAGTAGATGGTGGAGGCGTCGTAGTCGGTGCCCATGTGCGGCGCCCGGCCGGAGACGTCGTGCAGCCAGTTGCCCGCGAAGGTGTAGTAGTCCTCGGCGCCCAGCAGCAGCAGCGTCCAGTAGTGCTTGCCGTTGCAGCCCGCCGACCAGCTGGTCTTGCCGTCGAACTCGTTGTTCGAGATGGTGACGTGGCCCGCCTTGTTCCAGCCGCTGACGATCATCTGGCGGCCGATGAGGGAGAACTGCAGCGCTTAGCATGGTGATCATCGTTCGAGGGCGAGGGAGTAGGGTCGGCAGGTACCGTACCTTGTTATGGTCAATCCAGACCTTATCCGCCCCGTCGAGGGTGAGGGCATCCCCACCCCAGACGTACTCGGGGTTGAGGTCGGTGATGTGGATGTTCTGGATGATCACGTTGGAGTTGCCCCCGCGCACGCGCAAGCCCTTGCCCTTCAGCACGCCCTTGCTGCCCACCCCGACAATGCTCTTGTTGCTGCCCACGTCCAGCGGGGACTTGGCGGCGTTGTCGTAGGTGCAGCTGATCCAGGTGCCGTCGTCGCAGTGGTCCTGGATCCAGGCCTGGCCCTTGGAGGTGCCGCCGGGGCAGGTGGTCGTCTTGGTGCTGCAGCATTTGCCGGTGGTCGTGCCCTCGGTGCCGGTGAAGTCCCATTCGCGGTCGATCATGATGGTGCGCGCCACATCGTCGGTGATCCACTCCTTGAGTCTGCCATCATCATTAGTATTTCTTCTTGGTATGAGCGGGAGGGGAGCACTACTGAGCGAGACTGGAAGGCGTGGCAGCGGCCGCGCTGCCGCCACCGGTGGTGCCCGAGGCAAAGCCAAAGGCCTTGCCGGTGACGCCGGCGGCGTCGACCTGGCCCAGCAGGAGAGCAGCCAGAACGACGGAGATGGTGGTGCGCATGATGATTGACGTACGATGGAGGTTGCGAGGGATGGTGTTGTGCTGTCGAAGTTCATGCAGCAGTCTTGAGCCGAATTTATACTGGTCGTTTACCTCCCTGTCAATCCACCCCTCCGTGCCGCATTGGGCGGTTGCAGACCCCATTACCGTTGCCAAGACTTGGCACGTCGCAGCTTGACACCGGATGAGCTATTAAAAAGGTGCGCTTCTGGCGCCAGGCCACTGGTTCGAGGCATGACAGCCAATCCTCTTGCAGGGGTTGATGGGGTGTCTGAGACTGAGCACAGAGGCAAAGACCCTTCCACCACGGGTGACACAGTCCGTCGGAAGACAGGCATGGTCCGCCGGTCGGACTCGTCAGCTTGAGCTAGGGAGCTGTGGCTATTTCGGTTTGCCAAGGATGAGGGTAGGGTTCGGAGAGGAATAAATGCCGATGTGGAGGGCATTCCGGACGGACCGCCAGGGTTAAGGTTGTTTACCTCCGACAGTTGGCGTTGCAGCTGCGACACAAACCCCTGGCTAGCACCGAAAGAGACGCCAAGACTGGAGCTCTCAACGGAGTGAGCACATGTTCGTGGAATGGGTGGTGGCCTGCTGCATGTTGGAAGCAGCAAGTCGGGCATAGCATAGGGCCGTGCTGGGCAGTAGGAAGCAAAATGTCGTTAACTAGGTGAAGTCGGCCTCGGCAAGTGTTTACATTATCATAGTGCAAACCTCGGGAGCGAAAGGGGTCTTGACGGGCTTGAAGAAGAGATTGACATGCAGACTCTGCCTTTGTTTGAGAGAGTTGTGATAGTGTTTAAAAGCAGAGCGTCCTCAACACCTCCGGTTGTGTAGTGTAATGGTTAGCACCCAGGATTCTGATTCCTGTAATCCCGGTTCGATCCCGGGCACGACCTTTTTGTTTTGGTCATTCCAGAATGTTTCCCTACCCATCTTCATATTTTTGTCCCATTCCTTGGTCTATAGCAAGCTACACCCAACAATCCCAACTCTCCCAATACTAGTAATGAGTATTTTCAACTGGAACGATAATTTTGAATCGAATTCAACCAGAACTATCTCATGTTGGGGTAACAATATTGGGTAGTTCTCATCTGCCAAGTGTTATTATATATTTTATGTTTCCCTTTCTCGAGAGTGTGCATTGTTTGCGAGGATCTTACTCAGACAACTGTAAACCACTACGTTGAGGATGAAGGAGGCCATTATACGAATGTTTGTGAAGAAATACTTTCATACAGTGGTAGACTCGAGATTCGATAAGATAAGAAAGAGTATGTCGGATCTTCGGTGGATCTTGGCACGGGCAGGACACGCAGTCCTGCTTGTTCTGCTTGTCCTGGATAACAGTCAACAGTCTAGCATGGTTATCTCCTGCCGTTGAGCCATCTGTGTCAGGATGGTCATGATACCTATCGCTCAGGGTAGGTATCTATTGCACAGTGGCATAATGCTGTATGAGTTCTGTTAGTATGAAAGGGTTTTGATACTCGTGGTGGCTAACCTCACGCAGCCCGGATCAAGCTGAAAATAAATTTAGACGAGCAGACGTCCAGAATATCACGCATTCAGGCTAATTAACCACTCAGTGGGGCGAGAATGGAGGTTTATTCGCACCTAGCTACGCTGCGTTACATCAGCACCAGGGTCTCGGGCTTGATTTCAACCCCGTTCCGATGTGGGTTCCTTGCGTAGCGCTATCTACCATGTATCCAGAGCCCTCTCATGCCGTTACGCATCTCCTATGGTCTGAGCGAGGGCTCGTGGGGGTTATCCTGAAAAAGCCCGTGTTTGCCGTTGTGCAAAGTGACGTTATGAACAATTGCCTCTCAACCCCTTGACTCCCACCCCACAGTTCTGCACGACCCTCATCGAGACCCCATTCATGGAACCCCTCATTCAGGCTGAAAGGAATGGGCAGGTGGGGGATCGACCGGGCGACTGCCGAATGTGATGACAATACTCGGGTTCGCAGGATATGAGCCGGTAGAAGTTGGCTCGACCCAGCAAGGGAGGCACGTATATATTCAATGGACCAGACGTGAAGTCTGAACCCAAGAGCAGAAAGAGGAGCCTCAGCCATCCATCAATATCTGTCATGGTTGTCATAATACTGCTCGTCACCCTCGTGTCGCTCACGCCGGTCTTCGCCCAGGTCAATACAAGTTATGTCGATTACAGTATCGTCGCCCATCCGGACCTGTCTCCCTTGAGCACCGATCTGGTCGACTTCTCGTTCCCAGACTGCTCCAATGGCCCCCTGCGCGAGAGTCTGGTCTGTGACCGCACTGCCAACGCCCATGATCGAGCGGCTGCCCTGACATCCATGATGACTCTTGAAGAGCTCATCAGTAGCACGGGGAACCGCATCCCTGCCACCCCTCGCCTGGGACTTCCCCCTTATCAGATTTGGAATGAAGCACTGCACGGCCTGTATCTCGCCAACTTCACCGATTTTGGGCCATACAGCTGGTCCACCTCCTTTCCATCCCCCATCCTGACCATGGCGGCCCTCAATCGCACTCTAATCCACCAGATTGCCCAGATCATCGCGACCCAAGGGTGCGCCTTCAATAATGCAGGCCGGTACGGGTTAAACGCGTACTCGCCCAATATCAACGCCTTCCGACACCCGGTCTGGGGCCGTGGCCAAGAGACCCCCGGGGAGGACGCGAATTGCCTGTGCTCCGCGTACGCCTACGAGTACATCACCGGGCTGCAGGGCAACGCGACGCATCCTAAGATCATCGCCACCGCCAAGCACTACGCCGGCTACGACCTTGAAAACTGGCACCAGCGGTCGCGCTTCGGCAACGATCTGAACATCACCCAACAGGATCTCGCCGAACATTTCACCCCGCAGTTTGTGGTCGCGGTCAGGGACGCGCAAGTCCGCAGCGTGATGCCGTCCTATAATGCAGTCAACGGGGTGCCCAGCTCCGCCAACACCTTCCTTCTCCAGACCCTCGTCCGCGACTCGTGGGGCTTCATCGAAGATGGATTCATGTCGTCCGATTGTGACGCGGTGTACAATGTCTTCAATCCGCACGGGTACGCGGCCAATCTGTCGAGCGCCTCGGCCATGTCCTTGCGCGCCGGCACGGATATCGACTGCGGGATCTCGTACCTCACCACTCTCAATGAATCCTTGATACAGGGTCAATTGTCCCGGGGAGAGCTTGAGCGGGCGGTAACCCGGTTCTACTCGAATCTTGTCAGCGCGGGCTACTTTGACGGACCGGACGCGCCGTATCGCGATCTGAGCTGGGCGGATGTTGTCCGCACCGACGGCTGGAATGTGGCGTACGAGGCGGCGGTGGCCGGGGTTGTTCTCCTCAAGAACGATGGCGTTCTGCCGCTCTCAAAGAGCGTGCAGCGGGTGGCCCTAATAGGACCGTGGGCGAATGCCACGGAGCAAATGCAGGGTAACTACCACGGCGTCGCACCCTACCTCACCAGCCCCCTCGCTGCGATGCAGGCATCCGGGCTGGAGGTCAACTATGCCTTCGGGACCAACATCACGTCCAACGATACTACTGGCTTTGCCGCCGCGCTCGCTGCTGCAGAGAGGTCCGATATTATCATTTTCGCCGGTGGGATCGACAACACCCTGGAAGCCGAGGAGCTGGACCGCGAGCGCATCGCCTGGCCTGGAAACCAGCTCGAGTTGATTCACCGGCTCGGGGATCTCGGCAAGCCGCTGGTGGTGCTGCAGATGGGCGCCGGCCAAGTGGACTCGTCCTCACTGAAAGCCAGTGAGAGGGTCGGGGCCCTGCTTTGGGGCGGATACCCCGGCCAGGCCGGCGGTCAGGCGCTGTGGGACGTCCTCACCGGCCAGCGAGCACCGGCGGGTCGACTGACCACGACGCAGTACCCTGCAGAGTACGCTCTGCAGTTCCCGGCCACGGACATGAGCCTGCGGCCCCGCGGTGACAACCCTGGCCAAACCTACATGTGGTACACGGGCGAGCCGTGCTACGCCTTCGGGTCTACACGACCTTTGAGACAGCCCTCGCTGAGCCCGCGCAAGAACAAGAAGGCTCCTTTGACATTGGCGCCCTCCTCGCCCGGCCTCATGTTGGGTACAACCTCGCTGAGCAGCTTCCCATCTTGAACTTCACCGTCGAGGTCACCAACACCGGCGAGGTGGTCTCCGACTACACGGCCATGGTCTTCGCCAACACCACTGCGGGTCCCCGTCCGTACCCGAACAAATGGCTCGTTGGGTTCGACCGCATCGGACCACTGGTCCCGCAGGTGTCAAAGCGCTTGTCAGTCCCTGTTTCGCTGGATAGTCTCGCCCGCACCGACGCGCAGGGCAACCGCGTCATTTATCCGGGATCCTACGAGCTGGCGCTAAACAACGAGCGATCGGCGGTGCTGGCGTTAACATTGACAGGTAATGCCACTACGCTGGTTCAGTGGCCATTCCAATAGCAGTAGATCCTGTCCTGTTGAGGACCGAGAGGTCCGGAAGTCGGTGGCGCTGGGGTGGTGGTGGAGGAGGAGGAGGAGGAGGAGGGAGGGTAACCGGGAAAGATCGAGGTCAATGCATAGACAGTCCTGGAGTGTGAAAGGTACATATTTCGGGAATAGCATCAATCAATTGTCATTCCACGCATGGCCATCAAAGTACACACAAAGATAAGTTACTGTTGGGATTGTTATCAAAATAGCAAATTCATTCGAATCAAAGCCTTGAACCCTGAGCTAGGCTTTTGTTGTATTCAAAAATTCAATAGCCGAGGTATTGAATCGAAACTATCAATGAATTGTACAAGAACAGCGGTAGAAGACATGAATAACAGCTGAAATGAGAGTTTTATTGGTCATGGGAACGATAAACTTGGTAGGATCGCCACTTCACGGATAGGAAATAACATCACATCACCCACAAAAGACCAAACCTCCCGAAACAAAGACGTCACCAGATCTTCCCACCTAATGGCGAGAAGGCAGTGGGAGGAGACCAAGCACCTACAACCCCCTCTCCTCCATCACACGCCTCAACCTCGCCTCAAACCCCTCCACAAACTGCGGATTCAACATGTCGGCATGATCGCCTTCGCATTCCACGAACCCAACTCCCGCTTGTCTCTCCGGGGGTATAGATGCAGATTCCTGTCATTCAGGAATCCCTGTCTGTATCTGTGACAGGGGGTGTTGCGGAGGATTGGCAACAAGAAAGAGAACAATGATTCAGAAGAAACTGCTGGCCTCACATGGTGGGACTTGGAGATTTTGGGGCGATTTCTGTTCGATGGGCCGGTGACGGTGGAGAAAATCTCGTCTCGAGAAGCTGCATTCTGGTTGCAGAACAGTTCACGACGGAGTGGCGAGCCAGACGGCTTCACTGGATGATTCGGATCGGCGCAGACTGGCCGTGGCTTGAAGTGTTAGCGCTTTGGCAGGATTGCTTAGCGTTGAGGCCGATCACGCCGGTGGACTTACACTACGGCTTCGCTAAGCCCTAATTCGACAAATGAGTGTTCCAAGGACTCGACGGCGACGCACTACCGGCACAACTTCGAGTCGATCAAGGGGCTCTGGTACGATGTCGGGCGGGTCACGGGCACACGATGGCCAGGTTCAGCTTCACCACTCACAGCACCTCGAAGTAGTCTGGGTTGGTAAATTGGGCAATGCCGACCAGAGAGCCTTTGTTCACCCATTGGTGGTGCGGTTTATTTTCTCCAAGCGATCCAATTGAATAGGCACATCCACATGTTCTCTCTGAGGCACGTTCTGTGGATACTAATTAGTTCTGAAGCAGGGACTACCTAGAGGTGGAGCAGAAGCACCGAGAAGTTTCTACATTCTTTCTAAAGCTCAATTGCAACACGGGTCGTTTTGGAAATAATGTCGCGCAAGTAATGAGATTACTATGCATCCTTGGTTATACCTTGACGCCGAGAGAGGATTTGACAACGAAGGAAAACCAACTAAACCTCTAACAGACTGACTTGAAAAGAACCTGCTTACCCAGATTATAATGTGGACAAGTACGCATGCAAATTATCCATCGCAGCAGTCGCGCTCGCCAGCTGCGCTCTTGAAGTGGCCGCCCCGATATGCGGCGTGCTGATGACATTCAGATTCTCCCAGAGCGCCCCATACTTCGCCCGACTGGGAGGCTCCTGCTCGTGGCAGTCCAGCCCGGCACCCCAGAGATGGCCTTCGGACAGAGCCCGCTCGAGCCCTGCCTCATCGACAATACCCCCCCGCGCCGCATTGATGAGGATGGCATCCGGCTTCATGCGCTTGATCTCCGCAAAGGAAAGCATCCCGCGCGTCTCCTCCGTTAACGGCACATGTAGCGACAGCACATCCGCCTGCGTGATCACCTCCTCGACACTTTGGGCGCGCACATGGGGCAAATGCTCCCAGACCTCGGTGGCGGGCATGTAGGCATCATACGCGACGATGCGAGCGTTGAACCCCCCGTGGAAGATCTCCGCTACCGTGCGCTCGATGTTGCCCATCCCGATGATACCGATCGTCTTGCCGTGCAGCGTAAGCCCGTTGCACGTTTCCTTCGGGACGGGCTTGGCCATCTGCCGCGTCGTGATGGAGCGGATCCCCCGCGCCACGGCCAGGGCCAGCGTCACGGCCAGCTCGGCGACGTCGCGCGCGTTGGCGCCGGGGGTGTTCAGGATGCGGATGCCGCGGGCCTGGCACGCGGCCTGGTCGATCTTGTCGATCCCCACCCCGTGCTTGCCGATGGCGACCAGGTTGGGGCAGCTGGCGATGTCGGCGGCGGTTACGTACGAGCCTCGGATCAGCAGGGCTCGGGCGTTTTTCCGCCAGTGCTGAAACTCGGGGTCACTGGGCTGGATGAGGTGGAAAAGGGTGCGGGCGTGTTCGATGGCTTTGGGGGGGAAGGTGTCGAGGACATAAACGGTGGGCTTCTGGGCAGTAGAAGTACTGCCTGGTGATGAGGATTCAGCGATGCTGGGTGCCATGTTGACTGTGCTTCGTTGGAATAAAATTGCAACTCGTGGATAGTCAGAGGATATGTTAGTGCAGGAACTATCGCCGTTTATTGCTGGGGTATATGTATACATCATCCGGCTGAACGAGCAAATTGCGAGTCGGAAATCTCCCGTCGGGGAATTTCCGAGATCAGTTCTTGGGTGCTTTGCTTCATTCTCTGCAGGAACCGGTCGACCAGATGGTACAGTCCGTCTGGCAAGTCTTCCGGGAGCTCTTCAATTGTCTGCGCACACGCAGATTAGTGTTTGTCACACCGCAGACCTGCCACGAACTCACCAATTTGTTTCCTCCATGTAGGGCTACACCAGATAGGTCCCACAGCAGCCTGCACATCGTTCTGAAGCACGTAAATCTCTCCCCGATCAACGTTAGCAAAGCAGTGCATTTGCCAATGTAGCTTGTATCTCCACCCAAAGAAGAATTTGGCTGACAGACGAGGACCCCCCCTGCGGCGAACAGATCGTACCCATCCAAGAACGACCCTGTGAAGCAACCTTGTTGGAAGCTATTGAACTCTTGGTCGATATACTGCCGGCAGCTATTCGCGACATCCTCCTCAAATCCCTGGTCACTTCGAACTCTAGTCCTACGAGGAGGTGGCGCTGTTCCTGCAACTTTGGAGATCTGCACAAACCCCCGGCACGTGAGCTGTGCAGTAGGGTCTGCATCTAGTGACGATGGACCCTTATCGTGGAGAGCTTCGTCTCGCCAGTGACGCAGGTTGTGATGATGGAAGGAAGCAGACTGGGGGGCTAGTGTGCGGATGCTTGACATGAGTCTAGCGTGCATGAGAACGTGATGTTGCTTATAACCTCCCGCTGACTCGGCTGCCTTTGGAACATGCGAAATTTTAGTGTTTTCTCTGACAACCTGGCAGATAGGCCTACCTTAATAGAGATGTCTTCATCCTCGATACTGAATGGTCGATCCATGACGCCGCTGACAGCCCTGTAGCATGATCAGACGCTGTTTCTCACAGCAATAGAATGAAGTGTACCCACCGATCAACTACGTAGAGACTCCAAAATATCCGTTTCCTTTTGAGTACCTCTGCTTCACTCAGGTTTATCTCCGGCTGTGGCTCTTTGTGAAGCTTCAATGCGATGCACTTCTTCATGGCAAGCCCAACTAAATGCCAGGTGGAGCCTCCCCGGGGGCTCAGGATGGAGAAGTGAATAAGCAACAGCAGACATTCGACCACTTTCAGGCCGTCAATACTCTGCAGAACGGCAGGAAGATGCTCCATGGCCAGGCTGTGTAAGTCATTGGCGAAAACCCTGGAGTCGTAATCTCCGGACAGCAGCATGCCCAGGGCGACGGCCATACAGGCTCGGAAGTTTCGGAGGTGGAATTCCGCGGAGTTGCTGCCTCCGCTCTGGCATTGAACCTCGCCACTAAAGGTCGTTGCCACACACTGTTCCAGGGTGGGCTCATCGAGAGGTAGATAAATGCTCTGGCTCCCTTGGAGCAAGTTTCGAAGGCATAATTCGGCGACTTCCTTGGTGATTCTGCTGGCCGCACCCACAGCTGGTAGAGCGCATTGCCTTACATTCAAGCCTACAGACTGGGATAGATTTCCTCCTGGAATCTCGAGCGCCGCTCGAACCATGCTTCCCATGCCCAGCTGCGGAGGGAATCCATGCGTCTCGTTGCGTGGCTCGGCCATGGCGTTCCGGGAGAGGAAGTCAATATCTCCCATGGTTGCTTGCACCGACTGCTGGGTCGCAGGAGTAGGATTGGTCACCGGAGATTCAGTAGAGCTTTCTGCACTGACATCGTGAGTCCTTGAAGTCGACCCAGGTGGCGCAGGAACCGGTGCTGCGGCACGTAGACAAGCACGCTGGCTGCGACCATTACTGTGAAGCTCTTGCGCCTTTCTCTTCAAACTCTCTACATAGCTAGGCAACGGTTACCCAGGGGCATTATCTTGAGGGTGTGCTTTGCTTCTTACTTGGACATGGCAGCGTGGGAGATGCCACTGGCTTCATCTGCCGTGCGGCTGATTAACAACTGCCGCGACTCGCATTCCGCGTTCGCCTCTCGACAGCCGGTACAAGCCGGTAGCAGTCGATCACACTGGGGTTCGTTAGATCCTCTTGCTGACAATGTCCTAACAACGCGCTGCGCCTGACCTTCTGTTTCCGTTTGGCGCATCTCTCGCATGCTTGGAGTCTGCGCTTGCCCGGGGTGACAAGATGATTCGGCCCGGGTCTAGTCCGAGGGCTGGCTTGCATTTTCAGAAATGACAGGCTGATCACAATTGATCTTGCGTGGAGAGACGACTCCTCCTCAGTAATGAAGAACAGACGAAACTCAGGAAACCCGACGGCCAACTCGCCAAGAAGTGGAGCAACTGCCAAGGTATTGTGGCATTACTAGTAAATACTGATTCAAGAACATCGGGTATTTTCCGAGCGCCGCATCTCGCTTAAAAGTGCACGGATGCCGCCAATGACAAAGCTGTCGTTCAGTCATACCTTACAGATAACCGCAATGCCGAATTCAATGCTCCCCCGCGAGGCGTGGGACAGTCATCTCCATTGCCTGGACCCACAGCGTTTCCCGTTCAAGCCAACGCGCGCCTACACCCCTCCACCGGCCACGCTCGAGAGGATGGTACAGCACCGACAGACCAACAAGCTGATGCTCGTGCAGGCCTCCATCGAGGATGGCTATGAAGGCTTTCTGGCTCACCTCACCGAGTGTCGGAGGTTGTACCCATCGATCACCATCCGGGGGACCATCTGCTGCGATCCGGAGCTGGACCGGTTGACCAAGGAGGAGTTCGAGCAATGGCACGAGGTTGGGGCGCGCTGCATTCGCATCCACGGAGTCTATGGGCAATTCAGGGACCAGCCAGAGCTCGTGCGGAGCCAACTCCGAGCATTGGCTGGGTCCTACGGGGTGCGTGTGCTGGGGTGGTCCATTTCGGCTCAGCTTCCATTACCAGTCTGGGCTTCTCTGAGACCTTTCCTCATAGAAGATAAGAGCATGCAGGATATCATCCTCATCGCGGATCATAATGGCTGTGCGGAGCCAGATGACATAGACACGTCGGATTTCCGTGCTTTCATGGATCTGCTAGGGTCGGGAAGGTTGTACGTGAAGATCGGGGCTTTGTACCGTCGCAGTCCGGACGACTTCCTGCGAATGGAGCCAGTCATCAGGGCAATGGCTGAGCAGACACCAGAACGTATAGTCTGGGGAAGCGATTGGCCACATGTGGTCACAGGTGGTGGGAAGTTGCAGGTAGGGGATGTAGATGCTGAGCTGGCCGCGTTGCGGGGATGGCTGTCAGAGGAGGCGTGGCGTCTGATGCTTGTTGATAATCCACAGTCAGTATTTGAAAGAAACAAATAACGCAACTTTGGTCAAGTGAGCAAAGGCTCGATTGCACACCAATCGTATGATGTACACTACGAGGTAAAAGCTTGATGTCGGAGATGTCCCGCAAGGAGACGCGACCCCACCCGGTCTGGAGCCAACCCTAGCCAACCCCATTTCTGTCGGCAATTCTCCGTCTCTCGCGGTGGTTGTTGGGCCCTTTCCCCAAACTTCCCCAGATTCCTCTCCCCACGAGGTGTCTCGGAATTGAAGGTCCTGATAAATACTCCAGGCCGGTCTGAGAAAGAAGCGACTGTTGTTCCTGCATTTGTACCCTATAGAACTTTGCCTGACCCCCGGTGTGTGAATCCGATCCTTTTTCTTGTATTATCCACCCCTATCTTCGGGATGAGTGTGCGCAGTTCCAGGAAAGACGAATTGGAGCATGAAGTTAAGCCCGAGAATGTCTGGGTCGAAGATTGTGCAGCAGACGGAGGTTCCGGGGTGATGGCCACCTACCGGGGCTACGATCCAGAGTTCGCGCGCAAGACAGAGGGCGAGCTGCTGAAAAAGATCGATCGTCGGATCCTACCTTTGGTCCTGCTCATCTACCTGTTCAACTATCTGGATCGAAACTCCATCACGCAAGCTCGAGTCTATGGGCTGCAAGAAGACACCCACCTGAAGGGAGCGGAGTATCAGACCGTCATCTCCATCTTTTCAGTGGGGTACATCCTGATGCAAGTCCCCTCTACCATGCTCATGACCAAGCTTCGACCCTCCATCTACTTGGTATGTTAAATCTGCCTGTTCGCGAAATGCGCCCGATGGAGCTGACCCGATATACAGCCTTCATGCATGATCATCTGGGCCATCGTGAGCGGATGCACGGCAGCGACCCACAACGTCGGCAGTATCATGGCGGTCCGGTTTCTACTCGGCTTTGTCGAAGCCCCCTTCTTCCCCGGCGCCATCTACTTCCTCAGCTGTTGGTACACAAAGAAGGAACTGGGAGTGCGAACCGCATTGCTCGTGTCGGGCATCCTGCTGTCCAACGCTTTTGCGGGACTGATTACCGCCGGAATCCTGACCGGAATGAACCACACCACGCGACTCGCATCCTGGAGATGGCTGTTCATCATCGAAGGGCTTGCCACCGTTGTTGTAGCCCTCGTAGCCATGGCCTTCCTACCCGACTTCCCCGCCACGACCAAATGGCTGACTGAAGCCGAACGGATCGTGGCGCAGGCGCGTCTCGCCGAGGACGCAGGCTCGGAGAACGCGCTGGAAGATGAGAAAGTGCCCCTGCCCCGGGCATTGATCTGGGCCGCCAAGGACGTGCGCACCTGGATCTTTGCCTGCATGCAAATGGCCACGACGGCCACCATCTCCTTCTCCCACTTCTTCCCCACACTGATCAAAGAGATCGGATTCTCCAACAACACAGTCGTGCTCTTGCTCACATCCCCACCCTACGTCGTGGGCTTCTTCTGGGCTGTAGGCTGGGGCTGGTGGGCCGATAAGCGCCAGACTCGCTCCATTCCTGCGGGCGTGTCGGAGGGGGTGGCTATTCTTGCGGCCATCCTGTTGATTGCGGTACCAGAGTCCCAGCAGTGGGCGCGCTACGCCTTCACCTTTCTGATCTGCTGCGGAACGTACGGTGTCTATGCGACCACCTACGCCTGGCTGTCTTCGACCATCGTCCAGCCCCCGGCCAAACGAGCCGTGGCGATCGGTATCGCTAACACCTGCGCCAACGTGGCGTCGCTGTTTGCGAACTACTTCTGGTTGGACCAGTACGAACCCACGTATCGGGTCTCTTGGGGATGCATCCTCGCTTTTGAGTGTCTCGGAATGGCGTGTATCCTAACGCTGCGTTTTCTGCTTCGTCGCGCCAACAGAAGGTTCGAGGAGTTGACAACCACGATGGAGGTGAATGATGGTGTTGCCATGCAGAGATTGGACCAAGACTCGCGGCGCGCCATCTTGAATGGGTTTCGATATGTAATCTAGCTTGAGTTCTGTACAGACCTTGAATGTGTGCTCTTGCGACGCAGTTGATGGGGAGGTCGGAAATGGAGTGGAGTTTAGACAAGAGACATTTTCATTCTTCGAATGAAATCGTTCATCCATCTCGGAAGTAGAATTGCCGAGGACCAAGTAAAGTACCGTACGATACCATACGCGGGGCCCCCGCATTCCCCCCACTCGAAATCTCTTTTATATCATGATGTAAATCCTCGAGTTTCATTCCAGCTTGTTAGGCTGCATGCCAAGATCTCCTTCTCCTTTTTCCGCAAGTCAAGTGCACCATGCTTGATGTAGACGGCCTCAAGTTGAAACTACCCAGACTCCCAGCATGCCAATCATGCTATACCAAGAAAACCAAGGTATGGTTCAGCTTCTCCACGTATCCACCGTAGAAGCAACGACTGGGCCTAGTTGACCACATAATAGTGCGACAACGAGCGTCCTAAATGTGGTCCTTGTAGTAGAGCAGGAGCCGGTTGCATCACAGTCAGTCTCGATGGCAGTGAGCCTGTCTCACGCGAGTATGTGCTCAATACTGCAATTACACGCCACTGCTGACAGGAGAAGATACATCTGGGAACTGGAGCAGCAGACGCAGGAAACCCAATCGCCTGAGGCTGCGAGTGAAGCGAATACCCCGGTCTTATTAGTGCGTTCACCGGTTGTCTTCACTGCACCAGCAGAGAGATCTCTTGGAGAGCAGGAAACCCCAGCACAAGCAACACATGCATGGACGTCGCCGGCAGACCCGTCTCCTAGGGTGGTGGAGTTCTCGGGGATCAAGTATGTCCTCAACATTCCGGGTGTGTATCGTCTAACATCTTTATCTCAGCTTCATGAGCACGCTCTTTGCAGATACCAGGTGGAGAGACCAGAACGTCAGCCTGTTGCAAAACCTGTCCAAGCCCTCAGCGGTACTGGAAACCTCCATCCGAGCCAATTCTCTGCCCCCGCCGGAGGAAGCACACTTACTCTTTAACGCCTAGTAGGTAACGTGCCTGGTGCTGACTGAGACGCTTGGCTGAAGGAACGTAGTTTGAATGGCTCCCACGTGCAGAATCCCTTCTTGCTGCGCCGCGACGTCCAACAGCTCTATCATTCAGTTTTCTCGGGTGCTCACGGCGCTGCGTCCCGGCCAAATCTCCCACCCCCTCTGCAACGACTGACTGACTTCCGAGTGTTTATGATTCTTGCCATTGGAGCAGTGCCTCTATACCGATCTGGCAGACACACGAGCCACCCATATGGATACTTCCTGGCTGCCATGGATCATGTGGATTTCAACGTACTGTCCAAGGGACTAGACTCAATACAAGACTTACTTTTAGTGGTGAGATTTGGTATATATCATCACATTGGTACTGAAAAACTCCCTTTCAATTATTGACCAACCAGAAAAGCTAATATTCATCCAGGAACATCCATCTGGGAGCTCACAACACTCTGCATGCGCATGTGCATCGAGCAAAACCTTCACAGGCCACCCCGCTCAAAGCCCGGGAGTCGAAGCAGCCTCCTGCATCAACAAATGCAACGACGAGTGTTCTGGGAATGCTACATGATCGACCGCTACAGTTCCATCACCCTGGACCGGCCCTTCGCGATCGCGGAGAAGGACATCCAGATTGGCCTTCCCGCGGACGCGAGCGACGAGGAAATCGACGCCGCAGAGGCATCCGGCTCGTTTCCGGATCTCGACTCCATCTGCCGGGCGATTGCGTGTCGGAGTCCAGGCACGACGACGGAGATGTCGGTGTTCTTCCTCTGCGTACGGCTGCGGAAGATCACCTCGAAAATACGCGCCAGGTTTCGGCACCAGGAGGCCCCAGTGTCGCCAGTCTACCCTGCTACGATGCAGGACATCACGGCGTCGGGGAGAATATACGGTGACCTGGAAGAATTGCTTCAGGAGCTGCAGGAGTGGCGTCTCTCAGCACCCGTGTTCCCCGCTCCGCAGAGCCTGTACCAGATGCAGGCGTGGTATGACCTGCTTCTCATGAGCGAGCGACTCTTGCTGGTGCGCAAGGCGATCGACCTGGTGCCCAAATCGGGCAACACACCCCCGGAAGATCTGCTGTCGCTCTGTCTGGAGTACGCGATTACGACAATCCAGACATTCTGCCCGTTGTTCGACGCCAACACGATCACGTACACACGTAGCTATTTCCAGATGCTCTTCACAGCCGGGCTGTCCGTAATGTTCTGCCTCTCGTCTCTCGCGGTTCCGACCTCCGCCGTGCGGGAGCAAGCCGTTGAGGCAGTGGAGCAGAGCGAAAGGGCCCTGAAGAGGATGGGCAAGGAGCTACCGGATGCAGTGCACTACATCGCCGTTTATGAGGCCTTGCGCTCGCACGTTATTAGCAAGATGCGGACGGTGCCGAGGTCGGCTGGGGAGTGGGATGAGGCTTGTCGACACGAGCGAGCAACTGCACAGGAAGAGTTGCTAGTGCAGGGAGATGCCAATCCTTACCCAGCCAACTCCCTCGGCCTCAACCACAAACTGCACTCGAGCAACAACAATGATCCTCCGCTCGAGAATGACCCCCAGCTTGATCCTTCGCTCTTCTCGCTCGATATCTTCGACGACAGCACCTTCTGGAACACGGAATACGGACTGGGCGAGTACGCGTACGGGGATCCGCTGTTTTATCCCTCGCTGCTGCACGATGAGAGTCTATGAACATTTGCGACGATGCAGAAGACACTCTATCACATGATGCATATATGACTGTATGATAATCTGACAAACATTCTCCCCCTATATCTATGACCTGTTCACGTCGACTTGGCGACCCTCTCCCCAATCTCCGCGTAATTCCTCGCCATCTGCCTCAACCCCGCCTGCAACATCGACGCATCCTGTCCACTCAACGACCACGACGCGCCCAATCGAAACCACTTCTCCAATATATCCAATCGGCTCCCAATCCCCCCGATCCCCACAGGCTTGCCCGCCTTCCTCCCCGCCTGCAGCACCTTGGTGACCGCATCCTGATACAAGGCACTATCATACTTGCCCGGGATCCCCAAATCGGCACACAGATCATTCGACCCGACCAGCACACCATCCACGCCCTCAACGGCCAGAATCTCCTCCGCGATCTCCACCGCCGCCGGCGTCTCAATCATAGGAATCAGCATCGTCTCGCGATTGAGCACCTCATTCTGCGTCAGGGTCGGCACATGCTGGAAGTTGAACGCGGGGAGGTTGTTGGTGCACCCGCGGGCGCCGAGCGGCGCGTATTTAGCGCACTTGACGAGGGCGTGCACCTCGTCGAGGGTCTCGATGTGCGGGACGACGACCGCCGACGCCCCCGCGTCGAGGATCCGGCTGATGTGCCAGTGGGACTTGCTGGGGCTGCGCACCACGGCTGACACGCCCGCGTAGTTGCAGGCCAGGATCAGCTGGCCCACCTGGTGCAGGTCAAGCGTTGAGTGCTCCATATCAATGAAGAGGGCGTGCACCCCGGCCATCTTGCACATCATCGGGATCTCGTTGCTGGTGATGAGCTTGATGGACATCAGCGGGGTGATCTCGCCGGCTAGGATGCGCGCGCGGAAGGGGTTGGAGAGGGGGTCGGGGTGAGGGGTTTGGTCTGTGGGGAGGGGGGTGATGGAGCCCATTTTGGTGGCTGTCGTGGTTTGTTTGTAGGGATGAACCGGCGAGATGGCTTAGGCGCAATGCAAAGTAGATAATGATAAGATAGATGTGCCTTTGCTGTGTGGGGTACTATCCAGAATGGTTTGGATGGCCCTTATAACCTGGCGGCGCTCGGAGGGCTGCCCGGAGATTTTCCAGTGCTCGTCGGAGATTTCCCGCCGCGTCTTTAGGGCACGCATCGTCCACCCTAGCATTTGCCCAGTGCAGTCCTTAGGGAATTGATTTCTTGGGTGGAAGGTATCGAGAAACGTTGATTGAAGCTGTTGCCTGATATCAGTGACTCACCTATCAACCTATACATACTATTGTCAGTATGAGCCAAAAGCATCAAGATGACCCGACTCACAACACTACGCACTTCACCAATCTACATCGTAACTCTTCTCGGTACAAAATCTGAGATTTCTCTCATAGACACTACTACCCTTTTACCCCCCGGGCAACAGGCAGCCCCCGACAATGCCACCTGACCACCTGCACGACCCCCTCAATACTATCCGTAATAAACAACGAGCACCCATCCACGCCCCCAAACGTACAATTCGTCAAATTCCTTCCACCGCCCACCGCACTCACGATCCTCGCCTTGGGCACCCCCTCCCTATCGACGACAAACACCGATGCCAGACTGGGGTGGCACACAAAAAGATTCCCCTCCTCATCGACGGCCAGCCCGTCGGGCCCCGCGCACCCGAATGACTGGAAGAACAACCCCACCTTGCTGGTGGTGCCGTCGGCATACAGCGGGAGGCGCCACACGGCGTTGGCCCGCGTCATGGCCACGTACAGGAACCGCTCGTCGGGGGACAGAGCCAACCCGTTCGGGGAGACGCCGTTGGCGACCAGAGTGTCGAGCTTTCCCGCCGGGGTGAGGCGGTACACGCGCCCCGTGGGGTCGGAGAGGCCCGTCTGGCCTTGGTCCGTGAAGTAGAGGTCGCCCGTGGAGGCGATGATCAGGTCGTTGGGGCCTTTGAAGCGCTCCAGGTTACGGCGGGGCAGGAGGGGGCTGACTCTGCTGGTGGAGGGGTCGAAGAGCAGCAGGCCCTGTGGGTCCTTTGGTTAGTGGTCCTGAAAGATGCACGCACTGCACTAGAGGGAGGTGAGGTGGGCGGGTATGCCTTACCTGCTTGTAATCCGCCACCACGATGCATCCGTCCTCACGCACCACCAGCCCGTTGGGCTCGCCGTCCCACCGGACACATTCGCTCACATTTTTGTCAATGTCCACTTTCAGGATCCGGCCGTGCGGGATGTCGACGAGGTACAGGTCCCCGTTGGAGACGTAGGTTGGCCCCTCCAGGAAAATATCCGACGCGGGGTTGGCGGATCCCGGGCGCCATTCTGTGGGCTGACCGGTGCACCGGAGGGAGTCCGGGATGCGCACATAGACCTCGGCTTGGATGATTGGGGGCGGAGGATAGAAGTTCATCGTGGTGGTCGGGTCCGGGCACTGGTTGTCGCGAAGAAACGGCGGCGGATGATGACTGGGCTGGGAACGGGGATAAATATCGACGCAGTTCATTGGGGCTGGCCGGGATTTCTCCGACGAGGGATGTCGAGCGGGGGGTGCATTAGGATTGTGGTCAGGGTTGGCATAAGCTGGGGAAATGCGGGGCGAGGGAATGGTACAATGGAGAAGATCTATATTTCTCATGCGTCCGTGGGGTGAAGTTGGGCAAGCATTTGCAGACGCTAACCATCACGATGGGTCTCATTGCAGACGCGAGAAAGGCTATGAAGGATGCCCCCGAGGGCACATTCAATCGCCATGTTCTGTTCTGTACATGTGTGTTTGCTCTCGCTGGAGTATCGAAGGGGTTCGATGAGGGTAAGTGGTATCACTTTACCTAGGTATTGCTTCACCTAAAGAGTGTGTAAAGTGCTGATATCTCCCGTGCATGCCAGGAAACATCGCATCTCTAGTCTCGCAGTCTCACTTCAAGGTTCGATTTGGTCTTGCCACGCAGAGTCCCACACAATACTCCAATACCAAGGGCTGGATTGTTTCCATCGCCACCGCCGGTGCTGTCTTTGGATGCCTTGGGGTAAGACTAGCCATGGGGCAGTCTTGGCTTAATCTGACTATGCACCAACTCTAAAACAGTGCTCGCCCGTCAATGATCAGCTAGGTCGACGCTGGACCCTCCGGATCTTTACCCTCGTCTATTTGGCAGGCATTCTCGGTCAAGGCCTCTGTCATGGCAATCTATCTGGTCTGTATGCCTCGCGATTCATCGTGGGGCTGGGTATTGGACCTCTCTCAATTGTGCCGCCTGTCTACATCACCGAGGTAAGTTGTACAATCAGCCCCATGTTCCTGTTCTCAACTGTCATTCACATTCCAGATCTCGCCGAAAGTCATTCGCGGACTTCTCACCATCCTGTTTGCATCTTGCCAACAACTAGGCGTGGTGCTGGGATTCTTCATCAATTACGGAGTCACAAAACAGTATCCGGGCGTGGACATACAATGGATGCTCCCTACCCTCCTACAACTGGCTGCGGTGGTTATCTGGATCACGGGCTCCTTCTTCTGCTCCGAGTCACCCCGCTGGCTCCTCCTGCGTGGAAGATCAGACGAGGCAACCACAGCGATGTCTCGCCTGCGCGGCCTCCCTCGAGATCACCCCGTGGTCCAGACCGAACTCGCAGGGATGGACGCACAGATCCTCCACGAAATGGAATCCACCAGCAACGCCAGCCTGCTCGACCTACTGAAAGAAACTTTCGTCCCCGTCGAGAACCGCCGCCGATTCTTCCTCATCTTCATGGCCACCCTGTTCTCGCAGTGGTCCGGTGCCAACGCCATCACGCAGTACCTGCCCAGCATCTTCGCCTACCTGGGCATCTTGGGCGACGAGACTACCTTCCTGACTACGGGCATTTACGGGATTGTCAAGTTCACTAGCACGGTGTTTTTCGCCCTGTTCATGGTCGACATCCTCGGCCGGCGGCGGTCCCTTCTCGCCGGCATCGGCCTCCAGCTAACCACCCTGGTCTTCGTGGCCGCGTACCTCGGCGCCACGCAGACCATGTCTACGGCCGAGATTCGGGCATCTGCCGGTGCGTCGCAGGCCTCGACCGCCGCCATCGTCGCCATCTTCCTCCACGCGGTCGCCTGGAGCATCGGCTGGTTCAGTATCCCGTACCTGGTCGGGTCGGAGGTGTTCCCCATCCGCATCCGGTCGCTCAATGTCTCCATCTCCATGGCGCTCCATTGGGCCTTCTACTTCGGGTGCTCCCGCGCGATGCCCAGTCTGTTGGCGGCCACGCATCAGTGGGGGGCGTTTGTGTTCTTCGCCTGCGTCTGCTTGGTGTCTCTGGTTTATGTCTACTTCGCGATGCCGGTGAGTCGCCCCTGTTCGTTGGGCTCTGGTGAAAATCTTGCTGGGCTAATGTGAGTAGGATACGACGGGAAGGTCGCTGGAGGAATTGGATGGTCTTTTCCAGCGGCCCTGGTATACAGTGTATCAGGTCGCGTACAAGTCAGTGCAAGGCGTGGAGGGCGAGACGATGGAGGTCAAAGCTGAGTGGAGTGGGAGGGCTCAGCATGTGGAAGAGGGTAACACGAACTAGTGACATGTTCCGACGTTGTTTGAGTGTGCTCATGGAAAGCGCAGATACATGGTTGGATTTATGGATACATCAAAGCCTCTCAAGGGAGGAACATATCACTGCGCTCCTCACTTGCTTCTGCCTGTGTAATCAGGCATCAAAATGCAAATAGTCCAATCCATGAAGCTATTCCCGCGAAGACCCACCCAGGGAAAAACCACCAAATGCAAAAAACGACAACAGTCGGATTTGAACCGACGCCTCCGAAGAGAATAGATTTCTAGTCTATCGCCTTAGACCGCTCGGCCATATTGTCTTGTATGCTAATGCCGCTGTACTTTGGTTACATGTTGCAAAGGCACGCGAAGCCTTAAATGAATCCAGATTAACCACCCGACCACAACGCAACATTCCACTTCCCCACTAAACCCTATCATACAGCCGGTTCATCTCAGCTATGTTTTTTCCGCGCTCAAGGATCTGGCTCGGATGATACACCACGAAGATTCCCATCATGATCAGCATCAGCGCCGCGTCGAAGACATAAGCATACGCCTCATGGCTCTGCAGCGACCCCGCCGAGCCCTGCGCATACTCGATGACCCGATAGAGACAGCGAACCAGAATCAGCCCGCTGGCCGCGTACAGCACCCACAGATATCTCCTCCACGGTACGCACAACGTCATCGCAGTCGACGTCGGGTTCGCGGTGATGCGCCTGTGGAAGACGACGGCGACGGTGACAAAGAAGCCGAAGAAGAGGATCTGCACGACCAGGCCGACGATGATCACGTTCTCGCCCAGCTTGAGCGTGCTGCTGGTCTTGGCGCTGGAGAGGATACCACCGCCTGCGAGACATTGTCAGTTCCAGTTTGCGGAATAGAGTCCGGGGAGGTGCATCGTACCGCCGCACTGCATCAGAAAGGCGAGCACGTCCCCCAGGACGAAGATCTTGGTCATCCAGCGCGCGCGAATCAAGCACCGCGAGTCGCCGTCGGTCAGGGTGACGATGCGGCCCAGGATCATGTAGATGGAGGCGGCGAAGAGCGACGGGGCGATCAGGATGAAGAGGCTCTGGAGGGCGTAGGGCATGACGCTGTAGTTCGGTTTCTGGTGGGCGCTCACGGCCCGCGCGACGTACCCGATTGTCTCGACTGTTGCGACCGCATTAGCTGAGACTTGGGTTGGAGAAGAAAGAAAAACGCAGCTCATACTTAAGCCACCGATCACAAAGGCTGTGAAGAAGTATGCGCGCTTCCGAATTAGCAACCAGAGGTGGTACGCGGTGGCACCGAGGAAGAGAAACAGCGCCAGCAGGGCGCACGTCACGGACGGTGTATAAGCATAAAGGGTTGTTTCCGTCATTTCGATTGTTTTTGTCTGGATCGGTGAGTATAGAGTAGTAGGATCGAAGTCAGCGTTAAACACGCAGAATTGAGGTGCGAATGCTAAATATATGTACGACACAGACTTCAACTCTTGAATCAAGCTTTGCGAGTGTGCAGGCAGCAGTGTATAGATCTTCAAGAACAATTCTAAAATTGGTACTTTGGTCCACTGCATGTTTTGGGATAAGAAGAGCTGTAGCCGACCGACATCGTGACTCTAGACCCTCTTGTGCGAATACGAAGCCGAACCCGAGTCCGAGATCACTTGGAGATAAGATAATCGACGGGTCAAGCCAGTCGAGCCACGCAGCTGGCTGTGTTTACGCTTCCGTATTCGTGCTCGAACTCGCTTCAAATGCCCTGGTCCCGTTCTTTAGAACTTTGAAGTTTCAAGCTCATGATTTTTTTGTCTGCCTAAATATGATACACTCAGCGCGCTCCTGGTAAAGGCGTATCTCGGTTTCGACGCGTCCGGGCATGGCAACGCTATTCCCTTGAAGAAAAAACAAAGGGGGAACAACAGAAAGAAAAAGAAAAAAAAAAAGAATCCTTGATGCAGACTCAGAGTTGAAAATTTCTGGACTTCAAATGTTTAGCGTAAGGTTCCTTCGGAAACGGTGGGTCGGAAATGATCAGCTTCTATCTTGAGCATGGATAAGTAGAGGACCGGACTTTCCAAGGGTATATAACTTGGGCAGCCGGGCCAGTCACTCGCCCTTTCGATATTTCTCGCTCAACATCCCTTATCATCGAGCTAGCCAGCAATATAAGATCTTTCCAACTGTCTCAAATACGAACTATGCGCTCAACTCGACAATCAAATCTTTAAAATTTCTTGGGGAATGCGGACATTGCCAGTTAATGATCATTCGATCCCCCGACCGCGAAAAGAGTACAGTACTTCAGCCCTCGCGGCGTGTGCAGCAGGGTGTCTTCCCCAATGCTAATTGGAAATCACTCCAGCATTATCCTGACAATTAGATGAGATGAGCCTGACAAGGGCACTGGGCCATGACAGAAGGCAGACACCGAACAGGAGTGGGAGCGGTACTGGGTACATCGACTTGATAGCGTGAGGTGATTACATTCACCGGTTTCCCTCCTTTATCTTCATCTATATGATAAGGAGATCCATCATCACAGGGGCCACACGTGGTGGCAATGAATGACTGGAGCATTCATGTGGGAATAGCGCCGTTCTCATGGTACTGCAAGTGAAAATCGCAATCGGAAGCCAAACCTGTACATACGACCCCTTCCCGTACCGAAGAACATGAGAACAGAATTCGTCGCACAACACACTCCATCATTCCAAAACATAACACTTATCACCAGCTAACCCAATATCAACCTCCTCCTCTACTCTACAATTTTCCAGCACCTCCACTTCCACCCACCGAAATCAACCTCACTCCTCGAGATCAGACCAAACCCTCGAGACAAGCACCACAATGACCCAGATCGTCGCCCTCATCAACCAGCTCGTAGTCCTCACGTTCACCCTCATCATGACCACCAACCTCGCTCCAGGAATCAAACGCCATCTCACCACCATCACCGACTCCTCGCCCCTCGCCGCGGGCCTCCTCCTGTATTGCAGCATCTCCTACCTGATCAACCACAGCCGCTGCGGCCTGCTCGTGTCGACCTACTTCGCCCAGCTCTACTCGACCATCGCGACCGACTACCTGTGGAACCTCCTGTTCTGGAAGACCCTCCCTGCGACCGGGCTGTGGGCCCGAGCCCTGAAGGACGAGCTTTCCATGCGCAAGGATCTGTGTGTCTGTGAGGGAGCGGCCACCGTGATCCAGTGGTGCTTCGATCCGTACACGCGGGTGCTGCTGGTGTGCGAATGGATGGGCTTTCTCTGCGTTGGGATCTATTCGACGGTCATTGCGGCCAAGGCGGTTTACCGGCTTCTCGGTGAAGGGCATACATATTAAAGCTCGGAGAGGAGGTACTGGATGAAACAAGTGTGAAGAAGTGAGATCCAAGGGATGATGTGCTTTGTTTACGACATGGTGAGACGGGGGTAGAGCAAGGCAGTCGGGAGATACTGGCAGGCGAAGGGTTGCTGGCCTGGCGCCGGGCGTGACCTTGTGCCATTACACCTGTACTATCCAGCTTGCATGCTACTGAGACTGATTTTCCGACTTTGATGGAATTAGTTGACCAGAATGAGACTACATTTCTAAGCAATGGAGTTAATGGAGATAAGGGACAGTCACGGCACCCTCGGGTTCTGGACCGAGTCTAACTCCGACGCTATCCTCGATGGTCGCTTAAAGTATATCATGGCATGCGCGAGTTTCTCTTGGCTGGGCTTAGTATCTTGTTAGTCTTAAGTTATAAGCTCTGACACAGTCTGACAGCATCAAATCCCTACAGACCCTACTGCGACGAAGCCGAAGCATGGATATTATAAATACAGCTCGTCCTTCCATCCGAATAAATGCACTCCACCAGCGTTTACCAAAGAACACACTCACACACAGACTCAAGACAGGAAAGAGACCAAACCCCAAGATGGCCATTCAAGACCACTCCACCATCACCACCTCCAGCACCTCCAGCGCCCGGCGTCCGCAAGACCATGCCCTCATCGGCCAAGCCGCAAAGATCCCCGCCGCCGCCCCCGAGCAAACCATCTCCATCAGCCCGGTGATCCTGCCGGCCCCCAACCGCATCATCGACCTCCACATGCGCATCACCGCCCCGAGCACCACCGGCAACAGCCCGGGGCCCCTCCCCCTCATCCTCCTCTCGCACGGCCACGGCCCCTCGAACCACCTCTCCTCGCTTCACGGCTACGGCCCACTGGCCGACTTCTGGGCCGCGCGGGGCTTCATCGTCGTCCAACCGACCCACCTCAGCTCCAAGTCCCTCAGCCTCGACCCCTCAGTCGCGGGCGCCCCACTGTTCTGGCGCTCGCGCGTGGACGACATGAAACTGATCCTTGACCACCTGGCGCTCATCGAGGAGCTCGCCCCGATGCTCAAAGGCCGAGTGGACCACACCCGCATCGCGGTGGCCGGCCACTCGATGGGGTCGCACACGGCCGCCATGCTCCTGGGGATGCGGCTGACGGACCCGGCCGACGGCCGCGTGGTCGATCTCTTCGACCCGCGCATCCAAGCGGGGGTGCTGCTGACGCCGATCGGGAACGGCGGGGAGGCGCTCAGCCCCGCGGCGGCCGAGCGGTACGCCTTCCTGCGCGACTCGAGCTTCGCGGAGATGCGCACCCCGGCGCTGGTGGCGGTCGGCGACGCCGACGCGTCGCCGCATCTGACGGTGCGCGGGCCCGAGTGGCATGCCGATGCGTACGTGCACGGCCCCGCGCCGAAGAGTCTGTTGACGGTGGCGGCGGCCACGCATGGGCTGGGCGGCATCGCGGGGTATGATGCTAGGGAGACGACGGATGAGAGCGTCGAGCGGGTCGGCGTGGTGCAGCGGGTGACGTGGGCGTATCTGCGGGCGAGGCTGTGCGGGGACGAGGAGGCGTGGCGGGAGGCGGTTAGGGTTGTTGGGGGCGAGCTTGAGGGGTTGGCGAGGGTGGAGTCGAAGTGAGGTGGCAGCGTCCAGTGGTGCAGGACCGGAGTGTTACGATTCAACAATAGTAGATAGTGTTATTCCTGGTCTGGTCTTACACTCGCTCCCTCTCGTTGGAATCTGGATTTGAGCTGCAAGTTTACCAGGGGGTAGACACCGGACCTGATGGAGTGGATGTGTGATTATATGAAGAACAAGCAATGGTATGGTTAACGATCAGTCAAACCCTCATGCCCATCCCCAGAGCACACCCCGAACGTAATGCCCACCGCCGAACTACCGACAAGACACCACCCCGCCCTTCCGCCCATACCTCGCCGCCAGAAACGACTTATGCACCTCGGACACATTCACCTTCGACGAACCCCCCATCAGTCGCTGCACCGCCAGCTGCGCCGACCGCACACTGTACTCGGTCATCAGCGCCGTCTCCTCGGGGATCTCCACGTACTGGCCCACTAGCGCCAGATTCCCCAGATCCGAGGGGGTGATATCCGGCCGATCGCCGGGGTCGCGCTTAAGGAGCGGCGACAATCCCAGCGGGAGGACGTAAGGCACAGTCCTAGCCTTCGGGATGATTTGCGCGGGTGGAATGTTGAGGCTGCTGAGGAGCTCGGCGAGGATCTCGTCGCCGCTGCATGCGGGCATGGGTTTCTGGATGTGGTGGCCCGGTGCGTCCGGCGTGAAGCCATAGCCTAAAATGGAGCGGTGGGATTCATCGTGCTCTTGCTGCGCCTGCTGGGGAAAGACAAGCTTCAATGACCAATTGCTCTCTGCGATGGTGGCATCGACGGCGGGATGGGTGCCCAGGACGCGGTGGTGGAGGGCGTTGAACTCGGCTTGCGGCAGGTGGATGACGAACATCCCCAGGCGCGATTCCGGGAGATGGGTGCAGAAAGAGGCCGGGTTGCCGCATTGCGAGGACTTCTTGGCGAGGGCAATCCACAGCGCCCAGCTGGGATCGTCGAGGAGGCTTTGGGTGCTGGTGGAGAGGGCGGGCGGAGGGCTGGCGGGGGTGCCGGTCGCGATGCCTGATGCGGCGGAGCCGAGGGTCACGATAAGGATGTCCTCGGCGCGTACAGGAAAGACCATAGGATTTCCGCAGGGGTCAACCGCTTGGATCCCGCTGGCGGTTTGAGGATAGTGGTCCGGGTGGAAGTGGATATCGGTGACGTGGAGGCTGTGAAACTCGACCCCCTGGTTGCGAAGGTAGGCTCGCAGCGGCTGGAGGACGGTCTTCCGTAGGGAGACTTGCAGTGGGTCAGCGATCTGGATGCTGTTGCCGATGACCTCGTCCAGGTATTTGCTGATGTAGCGATGGAACTCGACGGCGGAGTGCGATGGGCGTAGGCCGAAGCTGAAGCCCGACATCACCCCCTTTAGCATCGGGTTCTCCAGTCGGAGACAGGATGCGTCAGGGAAAGGCGGGATTTACCTTGATGAGAATAGCCTCCAGAAGTAGGTGTCGAAGAAGGACTCATCGAACACCAGCTGAATGCTCAGCCCTTCGTATGCTTCCTCGTCCTGCAGGAGGAAGTGGAGGATGTCCTTGCGGTTCTTGCGCCAGACCTGTTTGCGGCCGAGATGACCGAGGAAATGGATCGGCTCTGCCATGAAGGCCTCGGTGCGGTCTCGGGTGCATGTCGCAGGGGTTTCGTCATGGTGGAAGGCGGGTACGTCGAGGGGCTGAGGCTGATGCGGCTCTTGGGCTGATGCGCATGGCAGCTCCTGGCAGTGACTCGTACTAGACGTGATCAACCGCTTGCGTGTCGACTTGGTATTTCGGATAGTGCCACTAGGCTGTCGCTGACCCCTTGAGTCGAGGATACGGATTCGATTGCCGGGGATCTTGGCCTCATTTATCAGACAAGAGGCAGCAACCAAGGACTCGACCCCACCACCTATCAACCACACTGTATGTGGTCGACGATTTCGAGTGGTCATGATGGTGTGTGCATAACATGTGAGCGTTGGGAAATGATCTCCTGCCTGCCAATCGAGGTTGGGGATTGGCAGGGCCTGATTTATACATCTCTTGCGGGGGGCTCGTGATTCCTCAGTGACTCAGCCCTGTCAGCTCACCTATTCGTGAAGGCAGATCTGGTGCCCTGGTTCAGCCGAATAAGGCGTGGGCCGTCGCGAGCACAGCCCAGACATCGGCTAGAACTGCCTGGGCCTTCGCATTCCCCTCGTCTCCGATCCAGCTCTACTGACATCGTGTTGATTCAGAATGGTGAAAAGACCGAGTCTCACGTCTCACAGGAAGACATGGTTCCGAGTGTGGAGTGTGAGAAGCGGTGAATGGGGGAGGGGATCGACGGCCGCGAGGGCTTTGTAGTGGGGGGTCGCGTGACGGGCCAATGTATGGATGCGGCGAACCCAAACCATAAAACCCCGCGTATTGCATCCATGGCTACAGTCCATTTCCAGTAAAAGGCTGGAGCCTCAGCATGATCACCCTGATCTCCCCCTTCATGCACCCCGTATATCACATGAGAATGATGAGCAGTTCCCGGGGTCGGGTTGCTTCCCGAATATCAAGTCTCCAGCCCCCAGATCACTATATTATTCATTGTTGGCTCGTAAACCAGACAATGAATCGTACTCGACTCCTGTTGCAGGCTCCAGTTTTACGATCAAGATGAACGGCTGTGCTGCACGAATACCTTCTCGTGCAAAAGGTCGTCGAATGTCTGTCCACGAACCATGTCACCGCCCTTCGTACAACGACCAGCCACCAGCAGCCCTCGCCCGCCGCCGTTGAGGGCTCCAGCCTGGGTCCACGCCGAGTATGGAACCCTCCCGCCTAAGCAGGACGAACTTCCACTCTATCTTTGTGTTCTGTACATCATTGTCCTGTCGATAACAGTGTTCATGCTGTAAGTCAGGGCTTGTTAGCTGAGTCTTCACTTGAATGCTGATCGCGACCAGGGTCATCGTCAAACGCCGCTACGAGGCAGACTTTACACCCCCAAACACTGCTTTCGAGCCCATCCTCCCGTACTCGAGTCGCAACTCGGAGGAACGGCGACTGCTCTACTTCCAGCAGAGCGTGGTGAAGGATCTCTACGGAGACTGGTGGGCTTCCATCCAGACGGAGCGGAGCAGACTGATGGGCTATAACAGCCCTGCTGTCTGGTGAGTGCGGGTCGCGGATGTCGAGGATTGTCGCGTCTGAAATAGCAAGCCACTGACGTCGTGTGTAGCCCCATCTGCCTGGAAGTCGTCACCAAGATGCAACTGATCTACCTGCTCCCATGCCGACATGTCTTCCACGATCGCTGTCTGGATGGCTGGGTTATGAGTGGCAGGAACACATGCCCGCTGTGTCTGGATATCATGGCGAGGCCCGGGAGGAAAGAAATTGTGTAAAAAGTGGTGGATGTATATACCAGCAGAATTATTGAATTACAAATAACAGAGTCAGTGATAGCTGTGCTGACTCGTACATCGACATGGCCCATTGTCAGCATAGCAACGTCAGACATGACCAAATCCGCCCGATGAGCTATTTTCGCGTGTCCAAGGAGGCACTGTCCAGGTTGCCAAACAGCCCATGCGGGTCATATTGCCTTTTCAGTTTCTGCAAGCGTGGTAGATCGTCCTCGCCAGAGTCTTCTAAGCCGTCTTTCGCCCCTGAGCCGATTAGTGTGGTACAGTAAATTAAGACCTGCGATAGGGGACTTTCAAGCGGTGGAACATACCACAATCTGCCTCACTGCTTTTCGTAGGCCCTTCCTTCCTCCCCTGAGGATACACCCTAAAGACCAACTCAGTGGCAAGACCGAACACCCCTCCGGCATGGTGCAGCGCCCAAAAGAGATCGGGCTTCTCCGTGCTCGACGTTGTGACAATGCTCCCATCCGCTAAGACTATCTTGACACTCACTAGATTGTCGATAATCGCGCCAGGGCACCCCATCAACCAGCCACTTCCTGCTCCAGTCCCTGCGTCGGCTGGAGTATCATCCCCGGTGGCCGGAACGACCGTGAGGCCCGATGCGCCCGCAACGCCGACGAGATCCTCCCATCTCGCGCCTCCTTGAGCGGCCAGTGTGCGTGATGCCGGATCAACCACCACTTTGGACATGCGCGCCAAACTGATGATGATTCCCCCCTCCTCCCCCAATGAACTACGCGTTGCAAAGGCGCCACCGTGGACGATAATCGGGATGTGGTGGTGAGTCGCGTAGCTGAGAACGCGCGAAACCTCGTCGGTGGTCGTGACTTGCACGATGGCGCCCTGGCTCTGTCAATCATGACACCAGCTTAAATGCATACAGACATACCGACTCGACCTCACCCAGCTCGAGACCGCGAATGCGATCCGCGTAGTCCCCATCACTTGGGGTGTGCACCTCCGCCCGGGTGTCCTGCAGCGTCGCTTTCAGCTCGATCGCGCGTCGGCACGAAAGACGGGTCATCTTGGATAGGTCAAAGTACGCTAAGCTTGCGTTTCGATCGCTGCGGCAATGCTGCTACAGAGCTCAAAAGCAAGCTGTCAGGAGCTCGGAGGAATCCACCGAGCAGAGCAACAGCTTCCTCGGACGGAATTTGGTTCGGCGGTGGCAAGTTTCCCGTCAAACCAGACGCTCTGACCGAACCTTATACACTCGCGACCGAACAATAACCACAAGCAAGGCATTACGAGAACCGCAAGGTTAAACCCCGGTCGTTCCAGACCCATCGACACCCATCGACGAGACTCCGCATTTTCCCCGGTCGTCGGCTCCGAGCTTTGGAGATTATCGCTTGGCAAGGGGGATACGAAGGGATTCTCGTGTATTCTGGCTGATCTTCTCCGGCTTTGCAGGGTTGGGGTATCGGGGCTGTTTGGTCTACGCTATCGGTTGACTCCATCTGAGAGGAATGTCCAATCTACTAATCACGTAGCACCAATTCAATCATTAGGCTTATATTAATTCAACCGGGAAAGGTGATCTTGCACCGTGTGCAGATCATAACGGGTATAGAATACATGTCCGACCAATGGACCGTTGCTGAGTTTTGTGCCGATGTCCAGATTCATGTCACATACGAATAGTATCTTGCCGAGTGACACTGAGCACTCAGTGCCGCGTTCTGTAGCACTGGGCAGGCTTTTGCATGAGATTGCAGCCTATTGCCCACCGTTCTCCGGAACCCTAATGCGGTGCCACTTGTTGAACGTATTGTGCGGATCGTACTTCTTCTTGAGCTCCTGCAGGCGGGGGAAGTTGTCTCCGAATATTTCCTCGCTGCCCACATCGTGGCCTGTCCTCTGTTAGCTGTCTTTCCTCTCATCCACGACAAGACCGTCCTACCAGCATAGTTGGCATAGATGCCCGTGCCCCGTCTCGGGCCCTGATACCCCGGCCGCTTGATCCCCGCCGACGTCGCAATGCGGCCCAACAGACTGGCCTGCGCCAACCGGATCTGCGCATCCAGATCGGCATCGTACCACCGAAACAGACAACTGACATTGTAGTACGGCCCGCGGTTCGCGAACGCCGTCGCCTCGTCGGGGACCTGCATGATCTGCGCATTCGGCAGCAGCTCGAACAGCAGCCTGCTATCTCGGGTCTGCGGGCATTCCGTGAGCACCCCGTTGAACTCGTCGTACACCGACTGCACGAACCCCAGGTCCAGCGGGAGGGTGACGTTGCTCCCGCGCATGCTCTTCCGGGGGCCCATGGCCACGTCCAGCGGGTAGCTGATGTTGACCTCGGTGTCGCTCCCGCGGCGGTGCAGCGTGTCCGTCGTGTTGAGAATCCCATTCAGACTATCGTAGGGGATCATCCCCGCGGTGTTGGCGAGCGGGTCCGCCTTCAGCAGCGGCGCGAAGAACTGCTCCGCCCGTGCCTGGTCCCCATTGTAGAACACCACGACCAGAATACAGCACTGCGTCATCGCTGGCGCAACCGTGAACCCGAACCACAGACCCTGCTTGCCGTCCGTCTGCCTCTCAAACCGATTGGCGAAATCGACAATGATCGCGAGTTTCTCCGGCGCGAAGAGCAGCGTGCCCGCGAAGACGGCATTGCGCTGGGGATGCGCGCGGAACCCGAGCTCGACGGCGACGCCGAACTCCTGGCCGGCGCCGCGGACCGCCCAGAAGAGGTCGGGGTGGGACGTCTCGGAGGCGATGACGATGCTCCCATCGGCGAGGACCACCTTCGCCCACAGCAGGTTGTCAATGGCCAGTCCGTACTGGCCGGTCAGCCAGCCGTAGCCGCCGCCGAGGGTCGCCCCCGCCGCGCCGATGTGGCTCAGCGTGCTGCCCACCACCGCCAGCCCGTGCTGCGCCGCCGCCACGTCGATGTCCGCCCACAGCGCCCCGCCCTCGGCGGCCACCACGCGCGCGTCCGGGTCGATGCGCACGCGCCGCAGCCTGGCCAGGTCCAGGACGATGCCCCCGCGCGCCGTCGAGCTGCCGCTCGTCGAGTAGCCCCCGCCCCGCACGGCCAGCGGGATCTGGTGGCGGGTCACGAATCGCACCACGATCGCCGCTTCGTCGGCGCAGGTCACTCGGACCACTGCGCCCTGGTCTCATCAGTCCTGGTCATGTCTGGTCTCGTTGGGGAGGGGCAGAAACTCACGACATCTTCATCGCACGAATCGCTCCACTGCTTGATATTATCGCCGTAGCCCTCGCATCCCCACGTGGAAATTTCCGCGTTGGTGCCCTGGAGCTCGTCCCGTAGACGACGGACTTGCGAGAGTGGTAAAAACGGCATTATGGGGGGTGTGTGTGGTATGTGTGGTGTGTGTGGTGACATGGATTGGGAAGGGTTTACATAGTCAATAATGTTGGATATCGGGTATATTATAGGGCGGGCAGAGTGACAGCCACCGGACCGGGGAATGGGACGCGAATGAGGTCAGCGCCCAGATTTCACGGGTTCGGGAATCCGGCCAGTGTTAAGCGCCGCTCGGCCGAAATCATGCTCCTTTGGCGATTTGTTGCCGGTGGTCACGGTACTTTCTTACCTTATAAGGGTTACGAGAAGGTGGTCTGATCGGACAAAGAGCTGGAGCTGTTACGGTGGCCTGTGGGGGTGGCAAATTGGGGCTGAGAACGGGTCCACCGGGTTTTCCCCTTGTCGACTGGTGGGAAGTGCACAACACTCTTGGTGACTTCTGGCTCGGACTTTTCCCTGACTCTCCCGACATGATGTAGTCTTTTCTTGGAGGTGGGTTTCTGCAGGCGTTTTCTTCCTTGTCCAGTGTGGAAAGGCTGTCTCCACTTTTGATGTGCGATCCGCGCCGTGGTTGACTTCATCATGATGAGCCTGTGAAAATAGGAAAGAAATAATAAAAAGAGAGCTGGAAGTTTCCTACTAGATAAAATATCCAGTTTGGGAATTCTTGTCAATTCATCTTCTTTAAGACAAGGACTTGCAACCTACTCAGTAGCTCCCGGGAAAATCCTCTGTGGATCATCCATGCTACTTGTAAACAAACTGTGAATTGAGCTGCGGTCAACAGAGGGTAAGCCGTGGGTGATGCGACCGGGCGTCCGTGCACGGACCACCCACGCCATCCCCAGCAAGAGAGAGTCGACAACTGTCAACAACTAATTGTCAATTTGGCAATTGAGTCTAGCGAATTTCTGTCAGGAAGAAAGGTACAAGCATACAGAGTCTGGAGACGATGCTGACGCAATCATTAAGCAAGTAGGCAGCTCTGTATCACCTCATCTGAGCGATGTATCAACACAAGGCTTGTGTATAGTACTAAGTAAGCCGGAGGGACCAACGTTATTTCTTTGGTTGAAAGATTTTCAAACATCCCCAATTCCCATAGCTAACCTGTCTACGAGCTAATTTATGTGGCGTATAAATCAGGGATGAACCAAACTGTCCGTGCTATTGCTCGCCACAACTTTCACCCGTGACTTCCCCATGGTGGATGTCACGAACGCACAACTGCACTACTGTCGTTCCTAGCGAGTCCCCAACCCAGGAAGGCTCCCCCAGCAGACCGATATACCTTTACCGAGTATGGTCCTCGTCAAGGATCTATCGCAGCTACAACCTTAGCATAATCTTCCCAGAAGCCAGGACAGAGAGTTGAGATGAAGACGAGGAGGTGATCTGCGATGAGAACGTTGCCCGTGCGACATGCCCTACTCATCCAGGACATCCCACGATGATCACAGATAAACATTACATATCCTCCTCTACAACCACAGTACCAGCCATATCACCACCGCACCGGGACCCAATACTTCCGCCAGCCAGCCTCCGTGTCGGCCTCCCGCCACTGCTCCACCCCGTCGGCCACCCCATCCTCCCCCTCAGCCCAATCCCCCGCCCGCACCCGCTGCGCCCAGCTCTCCAGCACCTGGTGCAGCGGGGTGTCACGCAAGGGGATGAACCCGATGAACTCGCACTGATACAGATCATAATTGGCATCCGCCGGGTCCTCATCCAACCACGGATTGCCGCCCATGCACGTGCCGTCGCTGAGGCGGGCCCAGCCGTGGCGCCCGATCCCAAACGGCAGCAGCAGGCGGCAGCCGTTCTCGCAGCTTTTGACCCTGCGATCGTCGGCCGTCAAATACAGGCCGGCGGGGCGCGAGGCCGCGGTTCGTCGGTGCTTGTCGTCGCCGAAGTCTGCGAGGAGGGAGTTGAGGCAGAGATCGGGGATGGGGACGGTCGTGACCGTCTGCCCCGGCGTGTTGGCGGCGGGGTCATCGGCGAGGAAGAGGAGGGTGGGCTTGATCGGCCGCGCTACGGGGAGTGCACGGCGCATGGCAGATTGATATTCGAGATTTTGCAGCGGTTGGGCGCGGAATTCGGCCTCGGTCGGGAGGCGGATTCCCGGGGCGAGGTAGCGGAAGCGAACCGGGCGGGGGATGGCCGCACTCGTTGCGGTGCAGAAGCGGTTGATGAAGCTGTTGGGGACGAGATGGGCTTCTGAGCGCACGGCGGGATCGGACCAGGGGAGCGTTAGCTGTGCGGAATCCCTGCTGCTGCTGCTGCTGCTGGGTAATCGGATCTCGATCTCATGGACCAGGTCCTGGAAGGCTTGCACGGCCTTGTCGACATCGGCGGCGGTATACGTATGGATCCGCCACGGGCCGGTCGTATCAAAGGTAGAGTCACACAGCGTGTCAGTCCCGATATCCCCAGTAGGCCACTGCCCATCCACCCGCGCCTCGATCTTGTTCTCCGTGATCATCTGGAGGTAGTCCGCATAGATGTCTTCGAGCGGCCGGAAGCCGTGACCATAGTTGAGGATCGGGTGGGTAGCCTCGCGGCTCTCGGCGAAGACAGCTTTGCAGGTGATTTGGTCGAATCTATGCACCTTGCTTAGGGCACGATCTTGATAAAGACGGAGGTGGTGAGTTGCGGCAACCTACATGATCCCCCATTCATCGCCAGAAGACCGATCTCCAACTTCTCAGGGTTAGTCCGCCCGTTTCTATCCGGGCTTTGCTCAAAACGTGTGGCCTCACCACGGATTGGCCCTCAAACCCCTATTTTCAGGGCCATCGCAGTAGTCCCGTGAGTGCGCAAGGGGTCCATCTTGTCGGGCCCGGGCCGATACCCGATGTAACCCAGGATGGCTATTACAGATTCTATTACGGAGTAGGTACTCGTATCTCACCAAGCTTCGCAATTATCAAGTCATTCAAGTAATCACAACCTTAAATTGTTCTGCCAGACACCCCGCCAGCGCGCGAATGCGCCAATCCTCACTGCGCACCAGCATCCCGCAAATCGAGCGGCATTCGTTCCGCGCCCGGTCGCGCATCCACCAGAGATCCAATCTCCGCATTTGAGTCAGCCAGACGGCGAGGAGCAGCAGAGCCACTTCATCCTTCCGATGGAGGAGCTGCACGAAGGGTGATTCCATCTCGACGAAGAACCGGATATAGACGCCAAACAGCTGTGGGGCAAGATGCTTGCCCACGGCGGGTGTTTCACCGATAGTACACAGGATGTTGTAGGCGGAGAGATACACGTTGGTGTCGGTGGTGTCGGCGGGTTGGATGCTGCATAGCTCCGCCAGGTGGGCGGTGAGGTGCGGTTCCTGTTGGAATCGGGATGCCTGTGGGGCCTGCACAGTGTGGCGGTCCTTTGCGAATTCCGTGTACCAGAAGGTCTGCGGGAGGTAGGAGTTGTATGGGTGGAGGATCGATTGGTGGATTGCCTGCACCTTGATCCAGGAGAAGGCTTGGTCGATGTCCTCTTGCCCGGTTCGCGTGACCCCTGAGGTTGATTGCGTTGAGGCCGGATCCGCGACGACCAGGACATTCATCAGGAAGGCGTTGGAGTGCATCAGGTTGGCGGTCAGGACCGACCGGGGCTGCATCAGATCCCGGTTGTAGAGGGTGGCGAACTGTTGGTAATGATGATAGAAGACGGGCAGCAACCGGTGCCTGTCCGGTTGAAGATGAAGGAGGTCTCGCGCCGACACTGCCAGAATCGCGTGAAGGAGCGATGGTTGAGAAAGCGACAAGGGAAGCATGTGCGTCCGGTAGATGCGTTGTCGCTGTGCTCCGATCAAGCGTCCACTGGTATGAGTCCAGAAATGGTGAAGAAGATACTCCGCGGGGAGGGGAGCACTGGCGACTTGGTTGACCCCCGCCAGCGTTAGGGCATCACCGTGGATACTGCGAGGTGAGCTGGCTAAGTTTGGGTATAGGCACGCCACGCCCCGTGCGATGCATTTGCGGCAGCTCGGTCTGGTCTCATCACATTTCACCCGTTTCCCCTTACAGGCGTTGCATCCATTGCGGGACTTGAAGTGCGATTTCCTCTGCCCCCCCGTCTCAATTCTCCGGATTAGTTTCTCGCGCTTGGATAGAATCGGCGTGCCATCCAGGCGAAACCGATGCTGTGTGGTGGCAGGGAACATCGAGTCTGTATCGATCCTACTCCTACACACAAATCCGAGGCCGAAATTCTGGAGTTGGCAGTGTAGCCTGCAATCTCGCTAAACGTACCCCGCAAGTCCCCGCAAGTCCCCGCATTACGCTTGGTATTAGGGCTCCAGCCTCCAGCGTTTTGTTTTTCTACCCATTGTAGTTAGTACTCTTGGTATAGTCAACCGGCAGATGGGGAGATGGCTAACTGGATTTGGGAATTCTGGCAATACGAATTGCCAAGCCCTTCCCTCGGGCTCTTAGCAAGCAGTATATCACAACAAGATCCTGATACTGGCAAATCATCAGTCCGTTCCTTTCGCATGCATGGTCTTGGCGTTAACCGCGACTAGGGTACAGTGTGGGGAGCAGTATGAAGCTGATCGGACGACTCGGCCACTCCTCTCAGCGTGCCCTGCCTGTTGGTGTATAAATATCGAGCTTTTGCCTCTCAGCACTTGTTACTGTCATTCAAGATCAGTTGGAGCCAGTCCGACGCAGAATCACAGCCATGGTGTCTCGGAAGCTTCTTCTGTTGCTCTCAAGCTTGATTAGCTGGGGTGAGTGCAGGGCGATTACTGGAGGTAAAGCTGGTATGTTTCCTAAAGAAGAGTCACTAAGCATTGTCTTATAATGCTGATTGGTGTGCCTTGGAACAGCCAGTAACGCGTCACGAGATTGGTCAGAAGCTGTCACCAAGGCTGAAGACTTCCTGGCGCAGCTCACCCTCGAGGAGAAAGCCTACATCGCGACAGGGGTTGCAGGGTAGGATGGAGCCTTGTTCGTTCGCAAAGAAGTGAACACAAGAGCTGATGGGTCAGACCATGTACAGGCTCCATCGCCCCGATCGAACGTTTGGGCTTCCGTGGCTTATGCATCCAAGGCAGGTCTTCCATCCCACCCTCGAGGTTTCCTTGACTAACTGGCTAGCAGATGGCCCTTTGGCAATTCGACCAGCTGTAAGTGGCTCTACATCCGTTCCTTTAACCTTCAATTCCTCCATTCCTGCTGTCAGCTATCTCCAACGAAGCTAATTCTTTCCCCTAGGACTTTGCCAGTGTGTACCCAGCGGGAGTCTCGGTTGGGGCGAGCTGGGATAAAGAGCTGGCCCACCAACGCGGCGTCCTTCTTGGCGAAGAGTTTAAAGCCAAGGGGGCCAATGTGATGCTTGGGTAATGTTTTTCAAGATGTAAGGTCGAGCTGCAAGCAACTAACATCGAAGATAGGCCGGTCGTAGGACCTCTCGGAAGAGACCCCCTAGGCGGTCGCAACTGGGAAGGATTCGGGCCTGATCCGTATCTCAGTGGTGAGCTCGGATACCAAAGCATCGTGGGGACCCAGTCTACCGGGATGCAGTCTTGCGTGAAGCATTACATCGGGTATGAACAGGCCACGGGGGCGAACCCTACCCCAAACACGGACGGGGTGACGATTCAGGGCTACTCGTCGAACATCGACGATCGCACCATGCATGAGATCTACTCGTGGCCTTTCGCAAGTGCAGTCCGGGCTGGTGTCTCGTCCGTCATGTGCGCATATTCGAGGGTCAATGGCTCTTACTCGTGCGAAAATAACCAGACCCTCAACGCCATTTTGAAAGAGGAGCTTGGCTTCCGAGGTTATGTGATGAGCGACTGGGGTGGTACGATGTCCGGAGCTCACGCCATTGAGAATGGACTCGATATAGACATGCCGGGAGGCGCTGTCGGCTTCGGGGGGACGTCTTGGGACAACTCCCTCTTCGGTGGCAATCTCATCCAGGCTGTGAACAATGGAACCCTATCGACGTCGCGCGTGAACGACATCGTGCTCCGCGTGATGACCCCGTACTTCTATCTCAACCAGGATCGTGCCGACTGGCCGCTCATCGACCCCAGCTCAAAGGAGCTCGGGGACTTCTCTGCCAGCATGGCCAACTATAGCTGGCCAGTGGGTGGCGAAGCGCATCGGGACGTGCGCGGGGACCACGGAACCTTCATTCGCAAGCTTGCTGCTGAGTCCGTAACCTTGCTCAAGAACCAAAACGGTGCTCTGCCAATCACGGAGATTCCCCGCTGCATCGCGGTGTTCGGTAACGATGCAGCGGACAAGTCAGCCGGCTTGGCCTCCTCCCCGGACTCCGAACTCATCGGTACCTTTGCTACTGGGGGTGGAAGCGGTTCCGGACGACTCACCTACCTCGTTTCCCCCTTGGAAGCAATCAAGACCTGGGCCAAAGGGAGATCTGACTCTTTGGTCCAGTATATAACCGACAATGAGCTTATTCCTGGGTTGCTCAAGCCCAACAGTGTGGGCTTCGGGGCGGCGATCTATCCCATCCCCGAAGTATGCTTCGTCTTCCTCCGCTACTACGTCTCCGAAGGCCCGGATCACAGCGACTTCGACCTCAACAACAATGGCAGTGCGGTGGTGAACGCTGTCGCCTCGGTGTGTAACAACACCATCGTGGTCACCCATTCTGGCAATGCGAATCTTCTTGACTGGGCGGATCATCCCAACGTCACGGCTATTGTGAGCTGCATCCTTCGTCCACATAACAACCAAGGCTAGTGAGTTACTGACCAAAGGACTTCTTGCTACAATAGATGATGGCCTACATGCCCGGCCAAGAGTCCGGCAATGCGATCCTGGATGTCATTACAGGTCAAGTCAACCCCAGCGGCAAGCTCCCATTCACGGTCGCCTACAACGCCAGCGACTACAACACCGCGATCGTGAACTTCACCGCCATGGACATCACCGACCCGAATGGACGCCAGGTGAACTTCACGGAGGGGCAATTCTTCGACTATCGTCATTTCGATCACGCCGGTATCACGCCCAGATACGAGTTCGGATATGGTCTCTCGTACACCAACTTCTCCATCGGGGGGCTTTCTCTCAAGGCCGCCAGCGGCAAGGGGAATGTTTCCCCTCACCCAGATCCGAGCAAGCCAATTCAGCCGGGCGGGAATCCCGAGCTCTATGAGGTTCTCGTCACTGTGAAAGTCAAGCTGACCAACACAGGCAGTTTGGCGGGCGCAACGGTGCCTCAGCTATACCTGGCTTTCCCGCAGGACACAACCCCAGCTGGAACCCCCGTGAAGGTGCTTCGAGGGTTCGAGAAGATCCATCTCAAGGCGGGAGGAAGTCAAACCGTGGCATTTGAGCTTACTCGCAAAGATGTGAGTTTTTGGAATGTCGTGACGCAGGACTGGGAGATTCCGGCTGGGACTTTCGAGGCCAAAGTTGGTCTGAGCAGTCGCCGGATCTCGGTCACAAAGCCTTTTGAGCTTTTGTAGGGGTGATGATGTATCTTATGCTCTTTCAAAGTGGCTATTAGTTACGTGGTGTGGTGACTAAACACACGAGTCCTCTTCACGGATGATGTTATCGCGATTAGACCGTGTCTAGTATGTTAGTGAGTCACAGTTCAGACATGAGTCAACCTTCTAGATGTGTATTTAGGTTGATGCAAACGAGAACCAAACTCACTCATAGAAAGTGGGATGAACAACAAATAGCTACATACAGACGCTGTATGCCTGAAGGGCAAAGTACTGTAATGTATTGTTCTGTCCTGTACTGTATGTATTACCAGGACACTACGATTCCCGGACCGATTGATCTGCTTTCAGCGTCCCAAGCTTTGAGGCTAAGTATTTGTTTCCCCTCTCCCCCTTTTCCCTATTTGACTTCTGGACAGCAAGCAAAATGTCTCAACAATTCATGACACACGTTTCCATCGGAAGATTCAACTTCGAACTCTGTGCAGACCTCTACAATCGAATCTTCGAGATTGGATGGAAGGGAAGCGGACGAAGCTGGGGCCAACTGCCCACCTGGTGGCAGCATTTCCAGCCTACAGATGCAGAAGCCTCGCACTACCACCCATGGATGATCGAATTCCTGAAACGTGTCTACTATCGCCCCGACTCCCCGCCGACCTTCTACTACGTTGGTAATCTGTCATCGGGGGAGTACCTCGTGGACGAGCATGTCAATGGTCTAGCGGAGGCACATGACTGCTTTCTTTATTTGCATCACTCGACCGGTTGGATGTGCGGCGACGAATATGGGATTCTGTACCATTTGGCTCTTTCAAACTTCAATCGTATTATGCTTGCTGATGCTTCTGATAGATTTGATCAAGTCGCATGCAAAGCCACGTTTGTGACCCATTGTGAAGATAACCTCGACCGAATCAACACGGGTCACGGCTGGAAGCCGCTGGAGGATATCTACCGCGCATATCTGGCGATGATCACGTCCCGCAAAGTGGAAGTCCAGCAATGGCCCAGCGGTCGATGGAAGTGGGAGACCGACACCGACCAACTCTGCCACTCTCCTATCGAGACAATAGGACCATGGCGGTTTCATACGTACACTCCAACGGATATTCAGCTGGCTGTCGCGGCCCTGCAAGAACTCTTGGATGCGATCGAGGCTCGCTTGCCGCCGTCAGCCACCAGCTTTGCTGATGCCGCTGCCACTGCTGGCACGAGTGGTAGTAGTACTCTGACAATGCTCCCCTGGGCAGACCCGAGCGTCCGCGAGGAGGGCCGCATCCTCCCGAACAGCTTCGCCGGGGCGTTCTGCGACGCCACCGCGACCACCTGTTCGACCGCCACCCGTTGAGCCTTCCGGTACTTGGCCCCGGGGATCCGCCTGCCCACGATCGCAGAGTTCCGCGCTCAGCCATTCCGAGACTATGAGTATGTACCCTGGTACCTGCGGGAACTGCCTCGTCTCAGACCGATTCGTCCCACGCTGTTGCTTGTCGCCGACCCCGAAGATCTATCATCATCATCATCATCATAATCCCCACCAATGATCGTCCCCGACCCCGGCATCGATCTCAATGACTTCCTGACCTCACGGAGGCGAGTCAGTCTCCCGGTCCCCGCTCGACCGCCGGGGCTATATTTAAGCGGTGATAACCGCGACAACCGCTCCTGGGAGTCGGGATGCCATCTGCTCCTGCCTTTCAGCATTGGGGGACAGGGCTGGGTGCGCCGCAGCGACGACACGATCCTGGGGAGGGATTACGCGAACGATCTCAGTCCGAGGCCAGGCAAGACCAACTCGGAACTGTATCAGTGCGTCGAGAATGGATGTGTTCCCCACCGTCATGTTCCCATTCACCATGTGCTGCGGAACTGGGCGGAGCGGGTGCGGGAGGGGGACTGGGACGTGGATGAGGACGGGGTGTCGGGGGGGATTGGGAAGTGGAGGGTGGCGGATACGGAGGAGATGTGGGAGAAATATCGCGTACCGATGGAGATTTATTAGATCGGGGAGTTGGTGCATGCTTCTTTTGCGGAAGCGGAGTTTGGTTGATAGATTTGTTTAAGTTTTATTCAGATGCTCTCGTGGTTGTTTTTAAAGTTTTATACACTATGTATACATGTAAATTCAATAAAAGCACGCGATTTTACTATAAATAAGGTACGTTGATCGCTACTGACTGGGACTCCATCGGTCCCTGCTAATATTCGATGTCTCGCGGTCTTTCTGCCAGTCGTCATATCTAGTGGTGATACTTCTGGGGTTGTTTGTATGTGTTTCCTATGCATCTGGAATGCTGATGAAGAGTCTTCAACTCTGTCTCATGAGGATCCCAGTGGCAGCCGGTGGTCCACTTCTTCAACACGTTTCTTCGTCTGAGATGTGGGATCATAATATATTCAGCATAAGAACGAAGACCACAGCCCATGAGTAGCAGACACTGTCTGATCTCAGCAAATTGGACGATTCATCAACTTTGAATATGCCTACAAACAGTATATGCTTACTGGCTTGTGCCTCTAATCGATGCTTGCTTGCTATAGCGAAACATCATAATTATCTCATTACTGCACCTCACCAAACGTCCTTAACTGCGGACAACCAATCAATTGGGCACTGATTGGACCAGAACCAGCACTGGGTGGAGATGGACGATCAATAATACCGAGATATATTGCCCCGGTCTCCGGAATCTCTGCAGGCGGCCCTACCCATGCGACCCACCACGTAATCGGCCAGACAAAAATGCTGCAGGGATGGAAAACTGCACACGGTGTCAGATATACGTGCGGAATCACCCATCATCATTTGAGCACCACTGACCGGATTAAAACTATCGATAACCGATTTCATTCACATGTTAGATCAGCAGGGATAGCCCCGAAAATCCTCGACCAAAACAGCAGCGGCATGCGGGGGAAGCTGTGCGGAGGAGGCTAGCGCTATCACACCATATGCAGGTGGGATCACCCTGCTGACTAGCTGACAAGACCAGGGATTTTCTCTGTGCCTGTTCCGGAGAAGCTGACCGATTGGACTTAGTGAGTTTGCCGGGCAGCAACCCAAAGTATAATTGAGTGAAGAAAGTCCGACGCCTACGTTGTGGTGTTGTGGTGTGCCGTCCCTCGCAGGAAACCAGGTTATGGCAGCCGAGGCAGCGGAGGCTACGACCCATTGCTATCGGTGGTCGCAAGATACATTTCCCTATCGCACCACAAAACCAATTGCAATGAAGAGAGTTTTGTAATGGGGCGCGGGTTAATCCGACTTTTCCGGGCTGTGCAGTGCTTCTAGAAGGTCACCGCTGGTTGGGGGGATCCACTTGGCGCCGTGGAGGGTTCGCCTTTCTTCTAATCCGCCGGGGCGCAACAATCAATTGTTCTGAACATCTTCCATCTCTACCAAAAGATTGAAAGTATATATGCAGAGTACATCCTCTCCTGACGAGCAACGAGGCATTCTAGAGTGGATTGTACATCCAGATATGAAACGACATAGTTTTCCAACCGGGGATGGCAGTTCCAAGGCAGGGCGAGAGAGTCTCTGCCTGGAGTGGAGTCACGGGAAGGCCGGAGCCCTGATCGCTCGCTATCTTTTTCCCTCCCCCAACGGACGCAGCGCTCCAGTCTCCAGCTCTCCGGCTTACACCACGCCAAGCAATAATAAGCAACAAGCTGCGGCTGAGTTCAGCATGGTTGAACCGACCAATCTCGTTAACGCAGCTGAAAATGACCGAAAGTGCCTGAGGGTTGCGGGAATAAATGATTAATGATTAATGGGGGATCCGGGCCATCCGAGGGAAATTCCCCACTTTGACTGGCTGCCCGAAGCCCGACACGAGGTTTGATGTCATTCGGCTTTGCTGCGCCGTGAACTGCACTTTTACAAGGAACTGGATCCTTCCGTCTAGTGTCTCCGTACCTTGCGGGGATTGTCGGTCAGCGCCCAGCACATAAACACAGCTTTTCCCCCAAAGCCACCGTACTTTGCCCTTTTCCCTCACCTTTTCCTCTTTCCTCCCCCCCCCCCCCATTTTCCTCATCCCGTGCTCGCCATGCTCTCTCCGGCCCGGCTCCTCCCTCTCCTTGGGAGTATTCTCCCTCTTGTCTACGGGTTGCCTACCACCAGCCCGTCCGTAGTGCTCCCTCCCACCGAGGATCCCTTTTACAGCGCCCCCAATGGCTTCGAGAGCACCCTCCCAGGCACCATTCTGCGCCTGCGCCCGGCCCCCGGCAACCTGACGGCGCTGGTCAGCAACGCCTCGGCGGCGTACAACATCGTCTACCGCACGACCGACAGCCAATACCACCCCTCGTGGGCCGTGACGACGGTCTTCATCCCGACCAACCCCAGCACGGGCAGCGACAACCGCACCGCGCTGCTCTCCTACCAGATCGCCTACGACTCCAACGACCTCGACGCCAGCCCCAGCTACGCCATGTACAGCTCGCCGCCGACGGACGTCTCCCTAGCCCTGAGCGAAGGCTGGTACGTCAACGTGCCGGACTACGAGGGGCCGCTGGCCTCCTTCACCGCGGGCGTGCAATCCGGGCACGCGACCCTCGACTCGATCCGCAGCCTCCTCTACTCCGCCTCCAACCCGCGGGTCACCCAATTCCACGCCCTGGGCCCCGCGACCACCCGCACCGCGCTGTGGGGCTACTCGGGCGGCGCGCTGGCCAGCGAATGGGCCACGGAGCTGCAGAACCAATACGCGCCCGAACTGACCCTCGCCGGCGCCGCCCTCGGCGGCCTGACGCCCAACATCACCAACGTGATGAACACCGTGACCGGCACGCTCTCGGCGGGGCTCGTCCCGGAGGCGATTCTCGGCATCGCCAGCCAATACCCGGAGACGTACGACTTCCTGGTCTCGCAGCTGCACCCGACGGGGCCGTACAACCGCACGACCTTCCTGGCGGCGCGCAACCTGACCCTGACCGGATCGGAGCTCTTTTTCGCCGGCCAGAACATCTACAACTACTTCGTCAACGGCAGCGACACCTTCCGGGATCCCCGCGTGCAGTACGTGCTCAACCGCGACGGCTACATGGGCTACCACGGCGTGCCGCGGCTGCCCGTCTATGCCTACAAGGCGATCCACGACGAGGTCAGCCCCATCCGCGACACGGACGTGCTGCTCGCGCGCTACTGCGGCGTCGGCGCCAACATCCTCTACGAGCGCAACACCGTCGGCGGCCATTCCGCCGACCAGATCAACGGGCACGCCGCCGCGTTGACCTTCGTGGGTGCCGTGCTCGAGGGCCGCTATGCCAGTCTGTACAAGACCGAGGGGTGCACCTTCCGCAATGTGACGGTCAATGTCACCAGCTCCGTGTTCTAGGTGCGGTTGGTGGTGATGGGGTGGGTGTGCGGAGGTGTATAGTATCTGGATGGGAGGGTTGTACATACTAATGCTTCGGGGTGATATGCGGGGGATGTAATTATGAGGAAACGGTGGAGTATGCTATGCTGATATGGGATATGCGATATATATACTAATGAAGATGAGGTTATGAGCTGTGGTTTGTTTGGAGGAATACAAGACTCTATTTGTAGTGAAGATTTTGGAGCGGTTGTCTTCGGTGTAGATGGTAGTTTCAGGTCAGACTTGATCTAGGCGCAGTATGTGTCGGGCGATCGCTCTCATCAGTGGGCCTAGTACACACATCTGAGATCTACACATGTAAGTCTTGAGAACTCGCAGTACCATTTGGCCCTGGACACCGCTTGCGTCCAAGGAGCCGATACATCCGAGGGCATGGCCCGCAATCCAGGTACAAATGCACAAGGCGGCATAAGGCCGAACATCATCCCACGGTGCGATGTCCTCGAGAACCAGAATGTCTATTTGATATTTCAAAGCGCTGTCAAGCACGCCTAAATCTTGGCATATCACCAGCATCAAGGCTCAGATGGTGTCACGCAGCACCTCAAACATTGGCTGCGCGGGCGCGACGGTGGTCGGCGATAGCCCCACAAGACGGTCAAGCTCCATCTAAACGCCGAAAGCCGATGCGCGCGGTCGACCAACGCTTAACCTTCCGACCTGCGTTGAAACCTACGAATAGATAAGACATGCAGTTTCCGAGCAGAATCTATGTGACTATCCACATTGAGTTGGAAGAATACGTACAAGAAAACCACAAGAAATTAACCACTCTACAAAATGGCGCCCCATCCACGCATCCAGTCCAGCGGGTCGTTGAACAGCTTTCACCCCGTGATGGTGACCCCAGTGATCGGCAAAGAATTTCTCAAGGGAAGCTGCAACATCGTCGACGATATCCTAAACAGTCCAGAGGCGGAGCAGCGCATCCGCGATCTGGCCGTCATGAGTTCGTCCACCCCAAACCTAATCCCCCCATCCCATTAACGCAAGCACGCAGTCGCCGAACGCGGCGTCGTCTTCTTCCGCGCCCAAGACAACCTCACCAACGCCCTCCAGAAGCAGCTCATCCTCCGCCTCGGCGAACTGACCACCCGCCCCACCACCCACGGCCTGCACATCCACCCCGTCACCAACGACGCCCGCGAATTCGGTGACCCGGACCCCGAGATCAGCACCATCAACTCCGAAGGCCGCAAGAAACTGTACAAGGGGTCGGACTACACCAGCCAGGCGGCCGTCTGGCACAGCGACATCGCGTTCGAGAAGGCGCCGGCCGATTTCTCGAGCTTGCGGCTCATCCAGCTGCCCACCACCGGCGGGGATACGCTGTGGGCGTCCGGGTATGAGATGTACGATCGCTTGAGTAAGCCGTACCGCGCCTTTGTGGAGGGGCTCACGGTCACGCACGTTGGCGAGGGGTTCCGCAGAATGGCGCAAGTGGGGGGGTTCAAGATGTTTACCGGAGAACGAGGCGCGCCGGTCAATGTGGGCGATGAGTTGGTGGCGGTTCATCCGGTTGGTCTTTCCTTTAGTTCGAATGTGGATGGCAGGTGGGAATGCTGATTATGTGGGTGTAGGTGGTGCGCACGAACCCGATCACCGGGTGGAAGTCGATTTTTCCTGCTGGTGAGTCTGAGGCGCATCCGGAACCCAAGAATAATGCTAACGAGGTCTGCAATCAGGCGCCTTCCCCTCCAAGATCAACGAACTGAGTCGCAAAGAGAGTGCAAACATGCTCCAATATTTCAACGATCTGATCATCCACGGGCATGATCTCCAAGTGCGCTTCAAATGGAACGAGCCCAATGATATTGGTGGGTCTCCATGATCTCTGTGGCTCAGTTCATGCTAACAAAGACCAGCCATCTGGGACAATCGCAGTGTCTTCCACACCGCTACTGGCGACCACGAAGGCTTCGGGCCGAGGAGTGGAAACCGGGCCGTGGGGGTGGGTGAGATTCCTTATTTCGATCCGGAGAGCAAGTCCAGGAGAGAAGATCTGGGTATTGAGGATACACTATCCCCTGCGCACTGGTAAAAGTGGGAGACTGGCATATGTGCTTCGAAATGTGGAATGATACTTTCATGATCCTGCTCGTAGTGACAATGATATGTATGAATTATGCTTGAATTTCCGGCCATGTCTCGGCGCTATCCTGCCATTGATGTCCACGGAAGGCCGGCCCAGAAATCATCCGTCAGCATATCGCCAAACGAGTGCAGGTTATCTAGCATCTCTTGTAATCCGTGGCATTGTAGGCTCGATCCCTCGTAGGGAATTGAGTCAGCACCGGTAGGTGGGGTGGGTAAATCAATCCATTCAGGAAGGCCATGGGACCCGTGGGTAGCTTGCACTCCAGGATGAGATGCTCCATCAATGTGGCACCATGGCTCGCCGGACGGGGCTACTGACAGCCCTCCTGTAATGTCGGTCGGCGTGGTGGTGGCATTATTCACGAACTCAATGGCTCTGGTCATGACGGTTTCTAGCCCATCGCGATATCTGCGGAGGGTGGTGTTTCGCTCCGCCATCATAAACATCACCAACGAGCAGGCCCGCAAGTCGTCCGACACTGCCACGCTCCAGAGATGGGGCGCCCGGAAAAGACAGAGACTACTTTGATCAGCCGCGCTCCTGCACTGAGTCTGACAGAGCTTACCACATCGTCAATCCAGCCATGAACAATGAATTGACCAGAAGAAATGAGTACCCAGATGAGTCTCTTTGCCGCAGTGTCTTGAAGCACTGGCACATTTTGCCGGAAACGAAGAGACATTTCTGGATCAGGGGATCCTCACAGGGAAGAATGCTAAGGAATCGCTGTAGTAGCATGCGGATGCAGTTATACCAGTGCATGCGTACGAAGGTTGATTCCTCAGGTGCCATCACAGGTTGAGCCTGCTGGAATTCTTCGAGAGAAGCCATCAACGGGGGTACTTTGGTGATCAATGCTGGTAGGTCTCGATCGACACGGTATATCTCGGAGTGAATTCGAGACATGATGCGCTGAAGTCGGATGGTAGAAATAAATCTACGGAGATTTGGGCCTGGTGTTGGCGCCGTCGGGTCCGAGGGAGTCTGTACCATCTGATCAACCTGCCGATCGTCGTTGGTAGCGTCATCCATGTCAGCCGGTACATCAGCATCTATATCTGTTTCGGCAATGCTGAACGGACGGCCCAGAGACCAACACACGTATCTCTCGACCAAGTATACACTCCAGAACAGGCGACGCCGCAGCTGGGCAGCGTGCGGTCGCATCGCTCGATACTGGCTTTCGCGGTGTAGCCCAAGGTCAACGCAGATACGCATTGCTAGGCCTATCGTATACCACACAGTCGAATGCGAGGTTGAGCGCAAATCATAGAGGACCAGTAACATGATTGCCTCAATTCTCGCATAAGTCGAAGTTGATTTGAGGGCGCTGTGGGAATTGGATGCTGCAGTCCAAAAGTCGCGAGGGGGAGTTGAGTCATATGAATCAGTCATTCGTAGTATCGAGGCCCCTAAGGCATAGACCATGAAGATCTTGAAAGTCTCAAATCCGCGAATCCCAGCAGGACTGTTCTGGTGGATGGTCTGGTGTAGGTGGTAGATCTCGGAGCGATCCAGAAACGGAAGCCGGGTATGCATGTCTCGAAAAAAAGCATCGATGAGCTTGAAGCCCCCATCAAGACCTGGGAGAGATGTAGTGCTGCTCAATGCAGAGGGGATCGGGGTAATGCCTTCCCTGTGTTGGAAACCAGCATTGATGGGGATGGACTCGGTCCATACGGTATCGTCTACGATACCACCTAGGTTCTTCGCGATGGTCCGGCCCGATGACGGCCCCAGATATGCTGGACCATGGTTGTGTTCGCGACCAAGCGATAACAGGGAGAGGACAGCAGACTGATCCGGGTTGTGATGGCTTGACGCCGTATCCTGATCTGCATGTGGCTCCAGCGATGGGCGCTGTAACGCGGTGGCCAATTGGGATTCGAGCATTTCAATTCTTTGAACCAAGGCTCCCTTGGACATAGCGTGATGCCATGAGGGGACGGTTTCGGAGCGCAAGCATGGCTGGTTAGCGGCCTCACATCCCGCACATGTCGGATACCCCACACAGCGTTGCTTGCGGCGATGACACCGTTTACAGGACTTGGGAATGCGCTTGCGAATACGAGCCTCTGTGCTCATGATGAAGGGTGAATGAAGATGTTGATCCATGGAGAAACAAGCCCCGCGGAAGGGCAATTAGAAAGGCTCAAAGGGTCGAAGGTTAGGTTTCCCCGCACTGCAGCACCATTTGGACAACCGAGGCTGAGGCCATCGCCAACCAAACGCACGTCATCCAAGCTAAGGATCAGTTATCGAGTCTCCACTTTTGATGAACTAGCTGAAGGGGCCATCTGTGAAATGTGCAGACTATGATTGATCTGCACGTGAGTGAGAGAGACGATAGTTGTTCCATGCAAAATGCAATGTAAACAACAAGTGAGGAAGTGAAGAAAAGCAAGTGGAAAAGGGAAGGTTGGTCGACGGCCACGTGATGCCACGTGATTGTCCCTCCGCTCCGCTCCACTCCGTCAGCGAAAGAACCAACACAAGGAGAAGTAACACATGCTGGTTGATCATGCAGCAGGCAGCTACCAAAGAGCTCACTCTGCTGCCTGTCTGAAGACAAGTTGGCAATGAATGCAAGCTGTAGCACAATGCTTGGGACATTTCACCAGCAAATAAGCGGATTCGGCCAGAGCGTCCCGGGTCTGATTGGTGATGGGCTCAGTGATTCTTCCCACCCCTTGCATCGGCTTGCATCGGCCAATACTCAAGGATAGGATGACCTGCTCTGTAGCTGTGTAAGCGTCTTGCTTGTCAGAACTATTGCCCCACGTTGAGGCACGCTCGTGACAAGTACTAGATTGCCCCAACGTTCTTGCAGAACAAGCACATATTTCGACTCCCGACCCAGTACTTACAATGTTCTTTGCCATTGGCCGATAGACAGGGCTCTGCCTCTGAATTGGCAAGAGTATTAGCCGACTATGCGGTCGCGCACCTGTCAGCTTAACAGGGAGTCGAGGCCACAGGGGCATACTGTGATTAGGATGAGAGTGCCGAACAAGAAGGCAGGGACAGTCTGAGTTGAGCTGCAGACATCAATGCTCACCATGTGTTCTGTTTGGCCCACCGGGACACTGTTCCGGAACTGCGAATCACCAGCCTGGAGAGACAGTTGATGCTACCGTCCTTCAGTCTGGCTCTGCCCCTTACATAGACAATAGGCCTGTGCCGGTCACGCGTCAACCCAAATTCGGCGAGGAGCTGCTTTCCGGCCAGTCTCGAGCCTGAACTTCGAAGCTGTCTTGTCTTTGGCACGAACAATTTACTCAACTGCGTGGAAACACGACCGTTGCTACACGGTTGGACGCAGTATTCTCTGATATATCATTGGCGGGTATAGCATGTCTCTCGTGCACACCTTGCTGGGGTTGAAATCATAGTGCAGTTGAAGCAGGAGCTTATGCACTTTGACCTTGCTATTGGACAGGGGGCTTGGCTGATGATGTCCAAGTTTGAGGCCAATCACACAACGGTTCAACCACCGCTGCAGCAGTCGGACGTTGGCTTATATGTCCCTGGGCCGTACAGGCGGGCGGGCTGGGGTGGACTGGGACAGTGCCCGCCGAGGGAAATGCTCTCTGGCCTGTCGCTCTCCGTATGTCAGGGCGAACTGTGCTCAGGCGAGAAGTGAGTCATCACATTTGATTGGATACACTGGCGTCGAGGTCGATCCTCTGTCGTGAACCATGAAATCAGGGAATTTTGGACGAAAAGAATGGGTCAGAAGTGCAACAGCAAACGTCAGCTGTCAGTTGGTCCTCCCTTACGGAGGTGTCCGGTTTCTGCAGGTATACAAATCCTGGACTCTAGGGTCTAAGTATGTCTTTATCACCCTCTTCTTGCGCTTTCCGCAAGTGTTTGTTGAACAGCTACCTCGTCTACAGTAACACCTACAGCCGACCTTGGCTCCCTGGAAATCGGCAGATATCTCTCTGCTACGCCACACTATGGACTCTACCTCCGCAAGAAGGGTGCGCTTAGCATGCGACTCATGCCACAACATGAAGATGAAATGCTCCGGCGGGCGGCCTTGTATGACCTGTACAAGATATAGACATACGTGCATCTACAGTGCTCCCAACCGCATCGGTCGACCTAAGGGTTCCAAAAACAAGACAGTCAGCCCCCCTTCGACGACCGATTCCTCGTCTTGTGCCGAGATATCCCAAGACAGCGAACTGTCCGAGGCATGGAACTGGAATCTGCCACAGTCACCATTACTGACGGGTGGAAATTTCGAGATTCCGACAACGACTCGTCCCGATGAGTTCAGTTTCAGATCACCTTTAGCGATCCTATCGGATCAAGACCTTCATACCAATTTGTCTTCGAGCGCACCTGCTTGTCTGGCACGGACCTACTTGGTTGAATCTGGGGGTACCTCGTCTTCTGCCGCTCCAGTATGTCCAACGGCGGCTTCCTCTTTAATGCGAATCCCAGACCTGGAATATGAAAAACCACTGACACGCACTTGTTTCTCTCTTCCAAGAATAACATACAGGCGTTCTCAGAAGAAGAGTTTTCGTCATTCCCTGCGCCTCTCTCATCGTACCCGCTCCTACAGCCTCAGTCCGATGCTCCAGGAGTAAGGGCCAACGCCAGTATTCCCTGCCACAAGTGCAACTGCGTGGGCGTGCAGGCCGAATCTCTGTCGAGTCTTCGAAAACGGGAAGCTGAGCCCTGTCCGATTGCATTCCCGATCGTCCTTGAAGCGACACAGGATATCCGGATCAGATGGGACGCGCTGCTCGGGTGCTCGCTCTGTCGCATGGACGGAGATCACGTCGCACTCTTACTGCTGGCGATGAGTCTGCGGCTGGTGCTGCGCTGGCTGCAGCTGGTCATCTACGATCGCGTGTCCTTATCCCACGAGCCTCCCACTCCTACTACACATAACACGCCTCAGCACTCCCGCCGCTCGAGCCTCTTGGCCATTGACGAGGTGCTCTCTCCCAGCTTACACGGAGACAAGAGCCGTTCGGCGAGAATATCCGCTGGCGGTAGGTCTCGCCCGAGGTCTAACAATGTGTCAGCCGATCGCATTCGAATAGGGAGCTACGAGCTGCCTGACGAAGAGAACAAGTTTGTGATGGACATGCTCACTAGCCGTACGCTTGCGCGGCTGAGGCAGACCCAGATCGGCATCACGACGTACTTCCAGCAATTCCAGGGTGGCGTAAACTGTTCTATGACGGGCCAGAAGAAGTCCATCAATCTCGTGCTGGATCATTTGAAACACTCCATCCAGACGACGGAGCAATTGGTGCAGAAGGTTGCGCACTAGATGTACAGCCTCATCGTGCCATATTGTTCTGCGAATGTGGTCCTGATGCCTGAAACATTTTACGTTCTGACTCGATCATTCTTTGGCCAAGTCTTTTCTGGTGCGGATTAATTTGAGGTGTTATTCGCCGCGGCTTACGCAATTTCTAATCCTCACCATAGATTCCATACACACTGCTTTTTCCCAGTTGATTATCTCGTGGCTAGTGCTTTGCCTCGGGTAATTCGTGTCTACTACACAAGACGAACCGATCAAGAAAGGTTAATTTAAGAAATATATATCTGACTGCGGGCTTTGATACATGCACCATGTTTGTAATTCCCACGATTGGCCATGTTGGTCTCGAATCATTGCCTCAGGTAAATTCCAATTACTACATAGTCACGGTTCAGACTTAGAATGCTCAATTCGATTCACGTCGAGCTTTGGAATACTAGTGGTTGTGATTGTGCTGTACGGAATCTTCTTGTACAGGTGACGTAGGAGTCGAGAGGATACCGACGAGTGTACTGTCACGTCAACTTGAATCGCACCCGTACCAACAGTTTGAAATGCCACATCACATCGATTTAACCATGTTCCAAATATTGTTGAATGACTGTGTATTTGTCTACTCTAGCAAGTGATTTCAACAGCTGTAAGCTAGATAGATAGGTTGAGCTGTACATCAGATGCTGTATAGTCCAGCTTACAATCCTTGTGCATGAGTGAGATGAAATGTCACACCGTCACGGTACTTTACCTTCCTCCAGCCGTGGTCGAGAGATTTGCCTGGATTGTTGCCTGAAATCTTCCAAGCCGAGTCAGGGGGTGATGGAATGTGCCTCTGCCTGAACAGGCAAGCAAGCTGACGGGTCACACATTCCCGTGCCCAACCCTGACTAGTAACATATATTGTGCAAGTACACGGAGGATCAACACTACTCAATGATCAACATGGCGTGGAATGAGGCAGGGGCATTGTCCCGACAGTATTCGAATGGAATTCTATACAGCTACCTCGTGTCATTGCATTCGAGGAATGTTTTCCCCTTCCCCCGCCGTGCCAATGCACACAACTCTACCCCAGCACTCGAACATGTGACTTCGGTCTATCATTCATTATCCATTCTCTAACTAAGCCGCAACTGCATAACATCGTCAACTAAGCAAAACATGTGTATATCGTAATCCCCGTCCCAGACGGCCCATCCCACAATCAATATGGGCTCCATCCCACCCATGCTCACATTGTGCTAGTGCGCCCAATTAAGCCGTCCGCAATGCCACCACCATCTAGACAGTGTACTGTCGCTGCAACCACCCGCTCTCGGGTCTCGTCGAGCAGCCCGTCGAGGAGCTGCAGGTGCCCTGGTCATGCACGGCGTACTCGTAGAAGATGTTGGTCTTGTCCTCGATGTCCGAGGCATCCAAGTTGACGGGGTTGTTGTTGATGCCGTAGCCCTCATAGCCGGTCAGATCGGGGTGGCAGCTGGCGTCGTTCAGAGCGGAGGTAGCGAAGAAGGCGGTGGCGTAGTGGTCGCTGTGGTCGCCGTCGCCGAAGGTGTTGTGGAAGTCCTGGGTCTTGAGCTCGTCCGGGTGGAAGTCGTCGATGAGGGCCGTGAGGGTGTGGATCAGCTCGTCGCGGGTGTAGGTCGTGCCGGAGCCGTCGATGGTGGTGATGTGGTCGATCGCCCCGTCCCACAGCTTCTGCAGGCTGTCGTTGTTGTCCGCCGCGAACCCGGTGCCGTCCATGTTGCCGTCCGGCAGGTGCAGGAAGACCAGCGAGATCGACGAGTTCTCCGACAGCGTGTAGATCGAGATGTCCTTGCCGGGGATCCCCGCGTCCGTCTCCGTCCAGCTGTTGCCCGCGATCGCCATCCGCGCGTACGCCGCCTGCGACCCCAGCTGCCGGTTCTGCCAGTAGCTGGTCCCCTGCCCGGCGTCGCCGGCCGTGAGGAAGACGGTGCGTACTGCCTGCCCGGAGAGGATGTCGCGGATGAGGTCCGGGCTCAGGAAGAGGAGGTCATCGTCCTGGTGGGCGACGATGTTGAGGGTGTCCGCTAGGGCGAAGGGGACGGAGCCCAGCAGGGCGAGCTTGCTAAGGAGGCTTTGAGGCTTCATGGCTTGGTTGGAGCAATGGACACTGGGTATAGAGGACTGTGGGTATATTGAGAACGCGTGGATGAAAATGAATGATCAAGCAGAACGCACGGCAGCCCGATGAAGAATTCGAGCTGCAGCAGACGGCAGTGCGTCTTGTTTATATTCTGTTGTATACTTCTCAGAAAGCTCAAACAAGGCCATCGCGTGTCGTATGGCTCGCATTCCGGAGCCTCGGAGTGCCCTAATATAGCCATCACCCCTTGCGTGCTCGGTCTTGATGACGCCAGGCAAGCTACTCATGCTCTGTGAGGCTCGAAGCCATATGACAGGAGATTGTGGAGTGGTACGCGTCCTGGAATACATCTGTGGCTTGAGGAGCCCCGACTCGGATCGACAAAATAGCTCTAAAGGAGAAATGGAGCGGTTGAGGTACGCTATGATACCGTTGGGGTTTGGCGCACATTCCGCGGCTGGAATGAGGATGTAACACATGGAGAGCTTCGGCCGTAGGTCAGAGTAGTCGCGTTGTACCTTGGACTTGGTTGTTGTGTTGGTTGAGGACTGTTGACGTTTCATGGCTGGCAGCCACTGATTCATTGTATGGCGATTATATGCGGTCATGGGATTATTTCCCAGCCTTGTCGCACGCACAGTCACCGAGCAGAGCGGATAGCTGATCATTTAGTTGAGAATATTTGCCAAGGTAGAAAGCAATTGCTCTTCGAGGGCCATCGAAAACCCGGTTTCTAGGGTGATTAGGGCAATCTTGCCTCTCTTGGTGAGACGATCTGTCGAGTCAGGGTAACTTTCTAGACGCCGACTTGCACAATAACGCTCAACCTCCTCATGGCAGGCAATAATCTCCAAAGACAGTACATCACATGCTCACTTCTGTACCGCCAGGAAGTCTGGAGCTGACTGCTTCCAATCTGTGTGGCGTTTCTAGCTTCGCCGGTCGCAACCAAACGCGCTCCAGCCTACATACATCAAATTCACGTCCGGTGGCCTTTAGACAAGGCGCTCGCCGGCAACAGTAGCAATACCCTTTTAGAATCATTCCCTATCCCTTCCATTAGACGACGTCTTTTATTTCCAAGATAATATATGCTTGAATCAAGCTAAATTGAGAGAATACACCAGCTTGAGACCAAATGTGTGCTGTGAGTTTCCTTCCTCAGCTCATTTTGTTCGAAAATGTTAGTGCGATGAGGACGGATCGGATTCGAGCGTAAGCTATATTCCAACACTGTATCAAAAAAAATCATGCGATATCGCTCAACTCCTTCTACAAGAGTGAAGTTTGTTCATGGAGCTACCTTTCTCCAGCATTATTTTGTTATGAAGTTCGATATACTTTTGGTGTCAATGAGAAAGTCCTTGAACATCATGTGGCAGCTGGCCCCAAGCCCGATAAAATATCTTAATATATATTGCGGCTCTAATTACCAATCCATTGGGTACAGGATCAATGAATGCAAATACCTCGTCGATTCACCGGATATGGCATACAACTATAAGTCTGGTTTTCATCACAAACATGGATGGATCAGTAAGATGTAGAGCGTCAATTTACTCGCTTAACCACTAACAAGTACCTTTTATATGGACCAGGTTCGGGATAGCACGCCTACTGGAGCAGCCACCACCGATCGATCTCGAAAACCCCCGAGCTAGAAGCTGCACCAGATCCCTAGTATGATAGCAATCTCCAGAAGATGGCACCAAAATCCACAACACTCTTCACTATCTGACGAAGCTCTCCATCCTAAGATGCAACTCAACAATGAAGCCCGCACCGGTCTCAGATTAGATGCGAATCCCCGCCAAAATCACCGACCGACGACTCTAGCAGAAGACATGATATAAATGGAAGACCACCGTGTACAAACCACTGAGTTCACCCCCCGCGACAACCTCCCACACATTCATAACCACGAATCCAGCATCACATCACAACCACCGACCGACCGAGCCCAATGGACCCCAACGTAATACTCGACCACGGCTGGTACGACTACTTCATCCGCCGCCTCGAGGAGGGCGGGTACCGGTACTACCTCGTGGTGGGCCCGCGCTACATCTTCTGGGCGTTCCCGCCGTGGCCGGACGCCCCCATCGTGGCGGTCATCATCCACGCGGACAAGATGGAGGAGTTGATCGACTGGCTGCTCTCGCTGGGGTTCGTGCCGTGCCTGGGGTGTGGACGCCGGCAGATCGGGCGCCACTTCCATATCCAGGACCGTCCTAGGGGGGAGCTGGAACTGGTCTTGTATGTGCTTACCGAGACGGAGATGATGGATTTGGATGCCCGCCGCGCGGATCGCGACGCCGATTCCCCTGGTTTGATTCGGATCCGGGTTCCCTAGGGCGATCGTTGCGGGTCGGGTTCCATGCCACTGCAGTGTTGTGACTTGAATTCTGCCTCATCAGAGTTGAAAAACGAATCAGTAAGTGTGGTAAGCTGTTTCCTGCTAGGTAGTCTAGTTCAATGAAATCCAACTCCTGATCAAAACAATCAAACAATCAAACGCTCCCCGTACCAAAAACCTGCATGGTCCCATCATCTATCCACTATCGCTAAACACAACCCTAAACAACAGGTAGACCCCAACCTCACCAAGTGATACTAACCAACCTTCCCCAATACCCCCCAGCCCACCCAGTCCCCATCCCCTTAACCTTCTCCTTGACCTGGACGGGCCCGTCGAACGCCAGCACGGCATTCTCGAAGATCCACCGCCCGACCTCCGAGCGACTGATGCCATACCCGACGGCGGGCTCCTCCTCCGTCCCGACGCGGACCTTCTTATCCTTGCCCTCGACCAGGAAACTCGGCCGCACGACCAGATAGCTGGCCAGCGCCCGGCCGGCCCCGAGCGCCGCATCCGCAAGAATCATCGCCTCCATCGCCTTCTTGTCCGCGTGCGGCACCTTCAGCATCCAATTGTACAGCGGCAGCATCATGACCGGCACGTCGCGCTTCGAGTCCACGCCCGTCGTGCTGATGACGGCCAGCTTGGGCTTGCCGTGCACTTCGTTCTCGTTCTGGAGAGCCTGCAGGGTCGCCAGCAACGTGCGCATCCCGTCCTGGCACACGGTCGGGTTCTCGAGGGTCGGGTGCAGCAGATTCGAGAAGTTGGGCTTGCTGCCGATGCCGCTGATGATCAGGTCGACGGTCTTCGGGGCGGAGGGGCCCCGGGTTTGGTCCGGGGCGAGGAGGGTGGTGCGCACGGCGGCGGCGTCCGTCGCGCTACCCTGGATGATGTGCAGGTTTTTGAGGGCCGGGGCGGGGAGGTTGTAGGGGGCGAGCAGGGTGGTTAGCTTTTCGGGCGTGCGCACGACTGGAAATTGTTAGTGGTCATGACAGAGGACGTTGGTGGTGGTGGTGTTTTTCTTTTAGGGTTGCGTACTTGCGTTGCACTTATACCCGGCTTGGAGGGCGAGGACGAGGCAGTGCAGGGTGCAGCCGCCTGTGCTGCCGAAGAAGGCGATCGTGGGGAGGGGGTCCGGAGAGGTCATTTTCGGGGATTGATACAGCAAATAAAGAGTTGAGGTTTTGGATTCTGATTTGATTTTCAACTATTTTGAAGTTGTATGCCAGGACATATTTATATGCTGTTCTGTTGCCGTGGTCAGCCTTGTGTTGGTGCTACCCGGGAAAATGCTCCGCGCAGGGACGGAGACTTTGGCGAGCCGTGATGTTTTGGCCCCGACTCCGCCACTTTCCTCGTATCGAATAGTTACTATACTTCCCCACTGGAACTGTAACCGAAATGACGTTGTTTCATGATCACAGAGGGCAAAACTACACTAACGTCGTAAGTCATGTCACACGCACCAGAACTGCATGCTATGCTACTCCCCCCTCCGCCAAGGGAACCCCCGTTCCTTACACCCATCCACCAACTGAAAATACCACCGATGCGCCGATAGTCCCCTCAGCGAGGGCGAGCCCGTGCCCGTGTTGCCAGCATAATTGACCGAGCCCTCGTAGACCGCCACATCCTGAGGGCGCACGGTGACATTATCTCCGGACAGGATATGATACTCGGGGCTGATATGCACATAGTTCATGATCAGCAGCGGCAGCTTCGGGATTGGGTCGTTCGTATGTGTGAAGCGGTAGTTGCCGCCCTGATTGGTGATGAACTGCGCTAGCGCCTCGTTCCCCACCCGCGGCGACGCGTAGGCGTACAGCGCCGCCTTGTACCCGCGCGTGCGAAGATCCGCCGCCGCCAGAGTCGCAACTGCCGCGCCAAGACTGTAGCCCACCAGCACCAGGTCGTAGTCGCTGTACGCATTCTGTAGCTGTTCGAGTTGGCGGATCACCTCGCTGCGGATCAGCCTCCATGAGGTCCAGAAGCCCAGTTCGGCAAGGCAGCCGTTGCACAGCTGGGGGTCGGTGAAGACGAACATCACGTCCGCCAGCCAGTTGCGCACCGAGTAGGAGCCGCGGAACGAGATGATGCGGCGGCGGTGCGTGTGGTCCACGGCTATGAAGCCAGCGGTATCGGTCATCGTGGCACTATTCGTCGAAACGATTAGTCGAGACCCGGCCCCAGGGACATCGCGGCTGGATGGTATACTTGGAGAAGGCAAGCGCAATACTCGTGTTGGTGGCCTCAATGGCCGGGCAGCCGCGGTCCCAGCACCGGATCCTCGCTCCCGAGGACTTGGGATCATAGTTGTTGCTGCAGTAGGCGGCGTCTGCATACTGTGCCCAGAATGCGAACTCGGAGAGTTGATGGGAGGAAACGTCTGACTGGGATCAGTGACCAGTTGATAAGAAATGATGGAACGCGAATACATACCGCGCGCCTGCAAAGCAGGAAGGGCCTGGCTCAGCGAGGCCAGCATCGAGAGCACGGCTAGAAAGCAATTGAGAAGGGCCATCCCGTGCTGGGAGGAGACTGAAGATCAAGAGTAAATGGCGGAGATGCTGTCCGGGGAATTGGAGAATGGGTCGGCTATATTGGCTTTGGCTTCTCAGGCCCAGCCAGGTGCAAACCTTCAGGCTTGTTCTGCAACGTGGAACACCATAGCCCTTCGACTCCCAGAGTCAGGCTCCGAGCTCACTTACTTGACAGGATCGGAAGAACCGAATGAGATGTGTTCATCTCAACCCCGCCCGGATGGAGAAGGCGCAACCAGTGAGACGGGCTCGACCGATGCCCAAAAATGGCAGCTTCCTGAAGAAATGATTGCCGGAGGGCTACTCCGGGATTACGTCGAGGTTGGCTCAGTCGTCTATCAATGCACATCTTGGCAGGTCGACCGACCCAGTAAAAGATTCCGATGACTTTGAAGGTTCCCTGGGAGTGACTCGGCCCACACAGAACCCTAGCAAGGGATGCGCATAAGCCACGATTGAGTTTCTCGGGTCACGCGCGGAATGTGCGGTCGCTTTCAGCAAAGTCAATTCATATGGATGCAGTCACCCAGAAAGAGTTATAAGAATCAATCCAGTGATCGCATGGCACCCATCGACCTTTGGACGGACCGACAGCGAGCAGTGCGTCCACTCTCGGGAGAATTGCCGTGCGGGGAAGTGATCGGGGAAGTTAGCATGTGGAAATCGCCGACTTCTTTATAATATTGATACATGGCATTGAAGATCTGGTCTCTGGGTATGTGCAATTCAATGTGTAAGTGAATCCTAAAGTCTCCGAGGCCAGCCGAGAGCTCCCATAGGGTTTCGAGATTCCTGTATTAACATTGGCTTGCTTGCCCATTCGCCTGCACAAGCCATCCTGATGACCACTGCAGTCTGTCGATGATGCTCACGAATAGATGACTGTCGAGGAGATGCCAACACGTCGGTTCGGAGGTGTCACAGAAGCAGTGACACGGTGACAAGCAGAACCCAACGGTCACGTGATGTAGGAGAAGTCCCACATGTGTCGACGTCCGAAGCCACAGGCAGAAAACCAGACAGACTTTTTTGTCTTCCAATAGTTGAAGACACTCTTGTCAATAGCGCCGAGAAGCAGCAGACCTCGGACTGATGTCACACTCAGCTTGGGCCGCGGCTATGGCTGACAGCGGCTCCCTCATGGCCTCGTACAACGTGAGGTTATCCAGTGTTTATCCAACCTTCCACCCCGCATCGTCTCTTTGGATGGCAACATCCCCGCGACTGTATCTGTTACTGGTCAACGTGGCTTGACAAGCACACTTGTCCGACCGTGGGACATATCCAGTGAATCAGGTGCCAACCCGGTTAAGAACAATTCAGCAAATGCACTGCGACTCTTAGTTTGCAAGGCTTAGGTCTGGCTGTTTATCAAAGGGCGAGAGTGAGCTCCAGAAAGATAGTCGGCACTAGCCCTGTAGATGAGAATCAAATTTGGAAACAAGCGACGGGGGTCACTCTCGGCCGGCACCTCCACATGGCCGGGAGAAGAATGTCTACCTAGCTCTTTCTACGATACTGTATGACACCCTCCATTCAGGTCCAATCTGGCCACGTCATTTTATTAGAAAATGATTAATGAGCCGACCAATGATATTCGACAGACCGGGAGCATACATCGCCCCAAATAAGGTTGGGATCCTACAATGGTGCCTAGTTGGCATCATTCGGGTGCAATCAGCTTTGACGTGCTCGGGTCAATTCTTTGAACGGCGGTCCCTTCCCATGTGAAAAGCACCACTTCGGATGTTTGCGCATGCCTGCTTTGCTTGTTCGATAATGGCATCTTCCACAAGAAATTAGGCTATAGGATGCCGTGCAGAACCTCACCAATGGTATTTTCCCCGAAGATGACCCGACCACCACAGGAATACTAGGTAGTGAGACAAGGTCAATCTATTATCAACTCAATTTACTCCGAAGCGATGCACTAGATTAGAGGCAAGTTGACTAGTACCTTATCATCCTTCCTGAAGATTATCCAGCACGGCAACGACTCCACCCTTAGTGTCTTGATCCCTGGCTTAGGCAATCTATCTGACGCCAGAAGAGGGAACTGGGTCCGATGACAAACTCTTAGTCAGGAGGACGAAGATTTAGGCAGCTGAACTAGGCTCGAATCAGCATTCAACCAGGGACTGGACCCTGATCGACTGTAATCTATCCGTGCCGGGCCGGAACACAACCAGTCAATTCGCTCCTCGGCATGCCGAGTCCGGTGGAGTCCGATTGATAACCTTCAGCGTTGCCTTCACCGGATACCCGTTTTTTGTTTCAACGTCAATGGCGTGCTGGCTTCCACTTGACAGTCTTCCCGCGGAATCATCCCGTCGCTGACCGATCGTATCTGTATCTTTGTCTAGTTCAGGTGTGAAGAGAGAGGGAAGGGAAGGCGGAAACCGCCCGCTCAGCCTCAGGGGTAGAGCTATATAACCCTGATGGAAGCAGGTGAACATGTGCAAGAATCACCAGGGCCAGACATCTGTTTCGCCATGTTCCGACCGGCTTTTCTCCTGAATGCCCTGACGGCGGCATTGGCCTCGCCCATCACATACGCCTCCCAGGCCGAATACGACTACATCGTCATTGGCGGCGGCACCAGCGGATTGGCCATTGCCAATCGCCTGTCGGAAAACGCCAATGTATCTGTCCTCGTGATTGAGGCGGGTGATTCCGTGCTTCATAATGCCAATGTCACGGCCGTGGATGGCTATGGCCTGGCGTTTGGCACGGACATCGACTGGCAGTACCAGACGATCAACCAGACCTATGGCGGCAAATCTCAGATGGTCATGCGTGCTGGTAAAGCCTTGTCCGGAACCAGCGCCATCAACGGTATACTACATCCCATTATCATCTCTGTCTCTCAGACATGCTTACTGACTCATGTTGTTGTTTCTGCTCAGGGATGGCCTACACCCGTGCTGAAGACGTGCAGATCGACGCCTGGCAGCAGATCGGCAACGAGGGCTGGACCTGGGACAGCCTGTTCCCCTACTATCTGCAGAGTGAGAATCTGACCATCCCAACCCGCAGTCAGCGCCTGGACGGGGCGACCTTCAACATCTCCTACAACGGCGAGCAGGGTCCTTTGACGGTGGGCTGGGGCGAGATCCCGACCAATAACCTGACTGCCACGATCAACGCTACCTTCCAGGGCCTGGGGGTCCCCTGGTCTGAGGACGTGAACGGCGGCAAGATGCGCGGAATCAATATCTACCCGGCCACCATCAACGTGGCTGCCAATGTGCGCGAGGACGCCGCCCGCGCCTACTACTGGCCCGTCGCCGCGCGACCCAACCTGCACCTGCTGCTGAACACCTTCGCCAACCGCCTGGTCTGGCAGGATGAAGCCCCCAAGGGCAAGGCCGTCACCGCCGCCGGCGTGGAATTCACCACCGCCAACGGCACCACCACCATCGTGACTGCGCGCCAGGAGGTCATCATCTCCGCAGGCTCCCTGAAATCCCCAGCCATCCTCGAGCTTTCCGGCATCGGCAACGCCACCCTCCTGCACAAGCACAACATCACCGTGCAGGTGGATCTCCCCGCCGTCGGTGAGAACCTGCAGGATCAGACCAACACACACGCTGAAGCCGCCACGCACACCACCCTGGCCGGCACCAAGTACGTCGTCTACCCGGACATCTACGACGTGTATGGCAACGAGACCGCCGCCGTGGCTGCCTCCCTGCGCAAGAAGCTGGACGACTACGCCCACGCCGCTGCGGCGGTCAGCCACGGCGTCATCACGGCCGCGCACCTCAAGGAGCTGTTCGAGGTCCAGTACGACCTCATCTTCACCCAGCGAGTCCCCATCGCCGAGATCTTGTACTACCCCGGCGGCAGCGCGAGCATCTCCTCGGAATCCTGGACGCTCTTGCCCTTCGCGCGTGGCAATGTGCACATCGCCTCGGCGGACCCTGCCGCCATGCCCGCGATCAACCCCAACTTCTACATGTTCGACTGGGACCTGGACAGCCAGATTGCTGTGTCACGGTATATCCGGGAAACCTTCCACGCGCAGCCGCTGCAGGGGCTGGTGAAGGGGGTGACGGTGCCGCCATTGGAGGATGATGCGTCAGACGAGGAGTGGAAGGCGTGGTTGCTGGATGGGAACTGTGAGTCTGCTAGTTTTTTTTCTTTTTCTTTTTTTTTTTCGTTTGTTTCTTATCTCGTATCGAAGAGGATGGCTAATGGATGCTTGGACAGATCGCTCGAACTTCCACCCCGTCGGCACCGCCGCCATGATGCCCCGCGAGAAGGGCGGCGTCGTGGACCCCAGCCTGAAGGTGTACGGCACCCGCAACGTGCGCGTCGTCGACGCCTCGGTGCTCCCCTTCCAGGTCTGCGGTCATTTGACTAGCACCTTGTATGCAGTCGCGGAGCGGGCGGCGGAGTTGATCAAGCAGGAGTCTGCTTTGTTTTAGACTGGTCATTGTTTGATTGTATGTTAGAGAATGGCATGGACGTGATTTGATAGAGTATCTGTTTTGGTCCTGTTACGATCATCGAATATGGTTTAACTTGCTGTAGCATAGCACAAACCTTCCTACACCCGCCTGTCGACCTCAAACCAAAAGCTCCCAAGTTCACCCGGTTGTTTATTTATCTATCTACTCATCTGTATCTTCATTTAATCCTTTTTTCTTCCTTGCCTCTCATATTGTGCCGCAGTATGCAACAGTACTTCTCGCCTTGTCACCCTCCTGCCCTGTAGGCACAGTGCGATGACTATGTCAAATTCCACCCATGTTGTATTCTGGGACCGCTCTTGGGGGAATCAGTATAGGAAGTGGAGAACCCAAAGCTTTTGGAATTATCGGTGGCTAAGGTGAATGCCTCCTTGATTCTCAGTAAAGCTCATTTCAAATGTCCTGTCATTACAGTACATTACGCATTACCCTGCGTGCATTTCCGCCTGAGAGAGAGGAGGGAGAGGGGAGAGAGAAAGCTACAGTACAGTACAGTACCAGTAACATACAAGGACCTCTGTCAATTTCGGTCACCTGTTTTCACGTGATCCTCTCCCTTCGGAGGATGAATGAGTGGATATCCATGATCCAGTTTCCCGCTTCCCATTCAATCTCCCTACAATTGACTTACTCGTCGTGGGACAATCCTCGCTCATTTGCCGACCGTTCTCAAACGTGGTCCGCATCTACCTACTCTGTTTCGCAATGAGTCTTACATGCTCCCGTTCCAACTGCATACCACAGTACAATGTGTACAATGTCAGGAATCAGACTGATAAGCGAGTCCACCTATGTCTTCCTCAACCTCACGGACAACACACTGGATGATGTTGACGAATCCCTGCGGCTGGACAAGCAATTGAAGCTCGATCCTCATTCTGCGCGCTACGGGCTTGGTGCTCTTGAGAAGCTTCCACTCGGGATTCTCCACCCCACCCTCCTTGCGCTGGACATACGGTCCATGACGGAATTCCGTCGCGTCAACAAAAGAGCCAGGCTCGTCACGGGCTCGATTCCGCAATATCGCCAGATCCTCGCGCACGGCCCGCCGCCCTTCGCGGCAGCCTCAACCACGAAACCGCGCGGGATTTCTCCTGCCAAGCGCTGTACGAGACACTCTCCACCGCCGAGTGTGACGGGTGCGGCGATTTCGGCGGCTACCTCTACTTGCTCGCCTGTCGCCGCGTGTGTTTCCTGTGCCTCACCGAGAAGACCGACTACCTCCCCCTGTCCCGGAAGGATGTGATTCGCCAATTCGGGCTGGACCCGACTCATCTAGCGCGTCTGCCTCACATGAAGAGCTTCCCGGGCCAATACTCGCCTCGATGGATCAAATGTCGACGCCGTGAGACCTTGTTCGATCATGGCTCCGCACGAGAAGCGGGGATCGCTGTCCATGGGACAGCCGAGGCGATGGAAAGGTACGCGTTGGAGATGATCTCCAAGCAACTCGAGGCTTACAATTCGCGACTATCTGTGCGTCAAACGAGTCAGAGGCCCGGGCGGCCCCCCAGATCTGCAGATGCCTTCGATGGGCATTGTTCCAATCCCAAGCGTTTCGTGGGGATCATACGTGCGCCATTCTTCAGCCGCAATACGCTATCCCCCGAATGGGGTTTTCACTTCCTGGCTTGCAAAGCCCATCATTATCGTCGGCCGCTTCACTGGCGTCGGAAGTATACTATCGAGAGTTGCCGAGACCATACCAGAGAATTTGGGGAAGTGGTGGGGGGGAAGCACGTCCGGTGAATCAGCCAGGAGTAACCGTTTCATCTGTAGGCGAACTAATATCCGGGGCATTTAGCAAAGGATCTTTCCGACAAAGGTCATTGTAGTAAAATCAGGCGTACCGATTGTTATTGGTAAGGGTTTACATTAGGAAGATTCGGGTGTAGAGAGATGGGCTTTTGCCGCCGGGAAATACTTTACATGTGAGTCATCGCCTCTGCGGGATAAGCACGCTTTGGAAGTCCGTCGGTTAGAGGCGCCAGAAGCCTTCTATGATCTGCGCACGGTGTTGCTAGCACTATAGTGACTTTGTGCGCTCAAAGACAGGGGAGGAAGAAACGCAAAGAGGAACAGATAGAGGGAAAAGATACCGACTTTATCAAGCACCCAGCTGAGAATTCCTATTGCAGGATATAGCATGGCTCTAGGCAGTATCGTCCGCAGGTGCACAGGCGAACAAGCCAATGACAATGGAATCTAGACTCTTGACGTATTATAGCTTATAACCTGAAGAGATGTACCACCCAAGCCCTGAGAACCGTCAGTCAAAGACATGGTCAAAGACTAGGCAGCTCCAGATCGACCTTCCGCAGCACCTCCAACATCTCCCTCCACACCTTCTTCCTTGTCCTGACCCCCTCCTTACTAGTGACAATCTCTCCCGGACTGCAGCAGAAGCATGTTAGCACAGATCAGCCCCAATCCAGGCCATACGTACTCAGCAACAGCCTGATTCTCCAACCACCCCCCATGGGATTCCACCTCGCTCGCCGCCGCATCAACAAGCGCCTTGCCCCCTTCTTCCGTTGTCCGCCCAGTCAACCACTGCATCACCCGCAGCACCACCGGTGCCTTCTCCCTCGTCAGGAGCTCCGACTTACAAAACCCCGACGTCACCGCATTGACGACCACCCACGGCGTGCGCGCTGCATCCTCCCTCTGTGGCACCATCTCCGCCAACTCCAGCATAACATACACATCCAGCAACTTACTCACCACATACCGCTCCGCAGGGCCGTTCGCCGCCGCCGACCTCTCCCACTGCGTCCGATCATTCAACGCAGCCAGAGTATTCTCCTGGTAACGCTCCAAAAGCCCCGCCGACATATGCACATCACTCGCCACGATCACCAAATGCGAGAGCAACGTTTCATCTTCTCTCGCCTGCGCAAGCAGCACGTTCAAGACCCGTAGACTCAAAAACGCCGTCGCCAGCCCGTTCACCTGGATCGTCCGCTCCCACCCGTCCTCCGTCACATGCCATTCGCCTGACGCCATCCCCGCGTTCATGATCGCGACGTCGATCCTCCCTTGCCCATCCCGGAAGTATTGTTCTACTCGGGCAGCGAAGGCTTTGACGCTGGCGAAGGAGGCTAGATCCAGGGCCCAGAGGTCGATTTGGCTGGGGTGGGCGCCGGTCGTGCTGAGGAGGTCGGCTTTTGGCGGCTTCGCCTTTGGTCAGGTCGCGGACACCGAGAATGACCTTTGCGGCGTGGAGGGTCAGCGCGTGACGGGCGGCTTCGAGGCCAACGCCGGTGTTGGCGCCGGTTATGAGGAGGGTTTGGTTGGCGAAGGAGGTGGGTGCCGGGAGAGTGAGCGGGTGGAAGGGTTGGGCGAGGAGTTTCAGCATTGTTCGTTTTGGGCGGACCTTCTTTCTTGAATAGGAATGAGTTGGAACTGAACATCTGTCAGTAGGTGTCTTGGAGCCATGAGCAGCTGAATTTATACTGTCGTGAAGTCGACATCTATATCGTGGATTAGCGGAGATTCGGAGATAAGCTCGCCAGGCGCCAGCCTTATCGGCGCTTGCCGGATTGGGACACTGATTCAGTTGCCTATTCGGGAAATGACGCCCATGCGCGGCGTCCGCTGCAATGGCTCACCACATCACCTTCCACGAATACGAGCAAAGGTATCAATCATCAGGCGTTGCAAACCAGGGTCACAGGATAGATCAAGCCACAGGACCTTCTTCATGGCGCTTTTGACCTCGGCAAAACATATGAAGTCCCTTCCTTGCAGTAAATGACGAAGCATAGTCTTATACCAGCTTCGGAATCGTTTCCCTTCACTGGCGATTCCGCCCAGCACTACCATCCACAACAGCAGATCCACTTCAGCGTCACTAAGCACGGGCTCATACTCCATAGCTTGGCTGATCTCCACCTGAAGCAGCTTGGCTAATCGGGCAAAGGGTGCAACGGCCATGGGAAGCGGCAAGATGACCGCTAGACTATAGACCCGAGCAGCCAAGCGGAAGGACTCGTACAGAAACGACACCGGCGCGACGCATTCATCCTTAGACGGAAGACTCAGAAGTTGGTGTTGGATCCAATTGCGCTGCTCGACCAGGCTAAGCATCTGGGGCTGCGAGTGGCATACTCGTCCATGGACCAGAGATTGAATTCGGTCTGTGTAGATCACCATGTCATGCAGTATCTCAAGGAATCCGCGTGGGAAATCTCTCAGCTCGTCCAACAGACGGTTCTGCGAGAGCTCAAAAGCAGTGGATTGGAAGGAGAGCGTGGGGCTTTCTCGCTGTGTGGTGTGCAGCTGCTCGCTCAACATAGATCTATACTCCAATTGAGGCTTGGTGAGGTTCTTGGTTGCGACGATTACCTCTGTACTGCAGTTCGGATTTCAACCGATTATCACAGGAATTCGTCCTCAGCCTCGGCAAGCAAACACATACCACGAGATCACAGCAGCCACCCCCTCCAGTTTAATATTCTCTAGACCACCCCGCTGGCGAATCATGGCCAGCAACCCCCGACGATGACAGTTATCCTGCGTCAGAACAGCATACACATCGAGACTTTGCATGCTGTCAAACACCGGACTGAACAAAGACGACACGTTACCAGCGGCGGTAATGGTCTCAGCATCGACGGAGGTATATAGCAACGAGTTGACCGCGAGAATGACCTCATCAGTCCACTGATCTACCGGTCGCTGCATGGCCGCGTTGAGACGCTGTACTGTCTCCAGCTGGCTTAGCTGAATCTCGTAGGCTGTTTTCTGGTTATGTTGCTGTGCGCCGGATAACAGCATCCTCGATTGCAGATGAGTCGCCGCTCCGTGGATGAACGCGCTGAACAGGACCGGGCTGTTCAACCCCGCAGTAAACCACGCCCTGATCGTGGGTGAAGTCTGCTCTGCCACTGAACTGGCCATGAAGATGGTGGGCCATAGATATTGCAGTGCTGTTTGGGTTGTAATGTGCTCAGCAAGGTGGTCTTACCTGCAGCGGCAGAGCTCAAACCCACAATACTCGAACATCCGACTCACGGTCGCAGCATCCAGCTGCGATGGGTAGGTCTGAAACGGGTCGAGGAGCCCCAGACCTACGGCTTCGGGGATCCGATGCATGTGCGCCCGAGTCTGTTGAGGTCGGTCATCCTTCGGAGCATGAGAGGGTCGTTTGGTCGCGGTGGACTTGGCATGCGATCGCCAGTTGTGCCGGCTGGCGTGGGAGCGGATCGCCGCCCGCGTCGGTTTCTGTCGGAGTTGTTGGGCCGACGTGAGCTTCACAAACTCGAAGACCGTGTCCATTTCGGTTTCGCCTGTTCGAGTGAGATTTGAAGTCTGATATCAGTCACCATCGAGCAAAGAAGAGTTGTGACTTTAGTCAAGAGATGAGGATTGATGAATATCCAATCTGACATGCGAACAGTAAACATGCCCAGTGCCGTGGTCATAGCGCCGTTCCTCATTCGGACAACATCACGTCATGTGACGGGAACACTTGGGTGAGCACCAGGTCAACTGAGATAGAAGTGCACGTTTCTTGCCGAAGATTTAGAAAACTCAATAGAGTATTCAACTCGGTTCAGGCACTGCGCTGAGTTCATGGACTTCTGCTGAAGTGTTCCCAGCTGGGTGGTATGCGGGGTTAGGAAGATACTAGTATATTTTGATGCGGATCCGAGGGAACACCATCAAATATGCCTGCATTTCGCAACCCTACCTCTTGTCTCTTAACCGAGTCTAGACATTTGGTGCGATTCATGGCAGGATCTAATCCAAGGAAACAACATGGCTTACTGCATTGGCTCGCTAAAACCTCGTACGAGAAGAACTGGCTGAAAAACAAACTAGTGAAAGAAGCAACCCAGCAAAAACGCCAACATCCGTACGAATCATGCTAAATCTCACATTGCACCATAATTTTCAACTATATCACACAAAATTCCCGGCCCGATGCTGCGCCTCCGGCGGAGTCGCCGGAGCAGCCGCCGGAGTCGGGCTCTGGCGCAAGACTTCGCTCGTCGCGATAGAAGAGGGACGCGTCAATGGGGTGCTCAAGCCGAGCTCACTGCGGGAGGGTGCCGTCGCAAACATCACCGACGCTCGGTCGAACTTGGCCTCGCTCTGCGGTCGGCCGCCCTCGGTCAAGGATACCATCGAGTAGTCCGCGGCCTTGGCGGCTGCCCTGGCTTCGATGCGTCTTCTCTTGCGCTTATCCCGGGTGCACATGAAGGCGGCAACGCCGATAAAGAGCAGTATCAGGATGGTGAAAGTGACGATCGCGGCAATCTCACCACGTCGGTTGTAGGCCGCCTTGGCGGCGCTGGCGGAACTAGTGGCCGAGGCGGTGGAGGTGGTTGTTGAGGCTGTCGACGTCGTCTTGGTCGTGGTGGTTGCTGCAGTGGTAGTGGATTGTGAGGTGGCGGAGGTGGTCGTACTTGATGAGGTGGTGCTGCTCGCTGTAGAGGTGGTGGAGGAGACTGTGGAGGTGGCAGAGCTTGTAGTGGCTTCTGTCGTGCTGGAAGAAGTGGTAGAGGTGGTGGAGGTGGTTGATTCTGTCGTGCTCGTCGAGGTTGCAGTCGTCGAGGTGGTAGACTCGGAGGTGGTAGAAGATGTCTCCTCAGTCGTTGAGGCTCGCTTTTGAACGAGCCAGTCCCCGTGGAAGCGCTTCGCATACCCCTTGAGGTTATTGGCATCGGCCGTCTGGGTGGCTATGGGTACGGTGACGGTGACGGTGACGGTTGAAGTGGGACTCCATGTTGAGGGTAGATCAGCTGCGGGACCGGGATGAGCAGCAGTGAGAGAGGACAATGTCCCGAGTGCGATCAGATAGCGCAGTTGCATATTGTCTGGTAAGTACTCAGTTGAGCGAACTTGGCTGGTCGAGAAGAAGATTGGTTGTTGAGCAGTGGGAGCCAGATTTCTAGGCGGGCAAGACCTGCATTATCTATAGGACCGAGCATACTGGCTCCAACCCGAGCCATGACGAATCCCAGCCAAAGCACCAAGTGATGATGAATTCTCTGCGTGTTAGGGTGTTCTTGTCGTCGTACGCGGTAGAACTAGGGCTGAGGCTGCCCAGTTATTTTGGTGGCTGCAACGGATGCTGGTTGGTTCGGGAGGGTCGAGTGGAGCAGTGAACGCTCAACCGGCCACGCGGCTTGCGCTCCACCGTTGCTCGTTCTCATTTTCTGGTGCTATGGCGCACCCAAATATCACAAAGTGAAATTCGATATGCCTGTCGAGAGCAACATACTCAAATGTATCCGAGTCGCCGTCGAGTTTGAACGGTATTCAATGGTTGAAAAGCACACACAGCATCAACCCTTATGTCCGGATATAGATCATTCCGAGGCGCGATAAGGAAAAAACTTTAGCCCGCGATGCAGAAAATCTTGTTCGGAGTGGATGCATGCTACCAAGTCGAACGGCCGATCGTCCGGTTCTCTCTACCACAACAAGCCTCGTAGGCTATGCCCCAGCCCCAGCCCCTCTCGCTTGTTTGACAGGCTATTTTCATCGCAAGATGAACTTCTCGAAGAAGCCTGCGCCACACCCGCTCGTTGTTCGCTGACTCAGCGGAATCTGAGCAAACTCAGATCAGCGCAGGAGTTTCTCATCTGGAAGACCGATGGGGCTAGGCCAATAGCAGACCCATTTCCATGCAATTATGTGAAGAGCGGTTGTCAACTCGACGAATTACAGCGGCTGTACCCCCCAAAGTCCATTTCATCGCGACGAAAGGCATAGGGGCTCGCTGTCCTGTGGTCCAACAAAGCTAAAATGGCAGACCGCGAACTGAATGAGTCTTGACGGGGTCATGGTCAATCCACAACGCCGCGCAAGACTCCCCCAAATTGGGGATGGAGCTCAAATTAACATACCCGCTTTGTCATGGTCCACGTCAACCCCACTGAGCTTGTAGACTTTCAAGCCTCAAACCCAGTCTCAAATAGGCTATATGGCCCTTGATAGCGTTTCATAGGTGTGAAAGCCATGGGTACGTAGTTGAAAGCTCGGTGATAAGTCGATCTAGCCGCTTCCGATCCGCGGTCGAGTCCGAGTCTAGCTGGCCGCTTCGCACACAGCGGTTCGATGTGGAGATACGAGCAACAGGTTGGCGATCATAACATCGACTTGATCGATGACGGGAAGAACGCTAGAGTGCACGATCTGCAGGATGAAGAATGGGAATTGGAAACGATCGGGGAGACTGTAGTGACGATAGACGTTGTCAGTCAAAGGCACTAAATTCGCAGCTCGCAGGGCTGAATGACTGGTTATTCCATTCGCTGCTTCTATCGCGAGCGATGTCATACACTCACCTATCGAAAGTGCCGACTCAATGATTCTGTGGACTGGTCAAGGCCTTCCCGTCGAAGGTTGAACAGATAAATGGTGGAAAATGCCTAGAAGGTACGGAGTAGAAGTTGAAAAGTGGGTGGTTGCAGGAGGCAGGCGGAGATAAGAGATAGCCAAACGGAGATAAACATAGCAAACAAAGCTCGGGAGAGTTGCTCCCGTGACCCTCGGATATCCTGCCCCTCCTTCCTTTCTTCCTCCCCTTCCTCTTTCCCTGTTCCTCGTTTCAAATCGAACACCCTGTTCTACTCTGTCTTTCCATCGAAAAGAATCGCATGTGAGAAGTTTCCATCTCGTGAACTTCTCCAATTCGAGCGAGAATTGAGTGCAGACGTCCATCTCCCTCGGGCGAGGAGATAGCTGAGCTATTACCCCTCTTCCGAGTATTGGTCTACAGCTCGTATACTGACGATCATCTTGCGATCCGAACAGCAACTAATATACCACCCCTCTTTGAGGAACCAACCGGCTCGTGAAGGAATCAACTCCCCGCAACAAGCCATTTTCTCCGTGGCTAGGTCTCATAAGCAGCGGTCTAGGGTCATGATAACCCCGCGTCAGATCGGCATCCTGGATCCTGCAGGCCCCTTGGCACGAGGACAACTCGGGTGGTGGTTGCGGCGTTGGCTTTCATTTCCGCGTGCTTTTGGCGTGCCGATTCGTTGGCCAGCAGTGTATCTTAGGTGGAAAATGAAGCAATTTACTTTTCAACAGACCGCCTCTCGTTTCCAGCAAGGGAGACGCAAGGGCACGGGGTGGTGTGAAGGTTAATCGTGCCATGAACGCCTTTGCCGTGCAGGAGCCATTCCTAAGACAATAACCTACGATTGGTGCAATGAGCTTGTTCCATGATTGCAGGGTCGTAGTTTATGACTAAGTAGTCAATTCTTTCCCCCTCCTCTTCGTCTTCTGCCTTTCATGACCTGATCTTGGATACATCCACCAAGCGTCCCTCGCCAGATCCCTCTCCCTTTGAATCCTTTTCACTATGGCACTGACCCCTGAGACCTCAGACTCGTCGACAAGTCTGCTTTCGAGATGCTACACTCAAGAGCCCATTGCCATTGTGGGCATGGCCTGTCGACTTCCTGGCCAAAATGACTCGCCCCATCGCTTATGGGAGTTCCTTATGAAGGGTGGTGTGGCAGGTACAGAAGCTCCCGAAACGCGGTTCAACCGAAAAGGCCATTACGATGGCTCAGACAGGCCACGCACTTCACGATCCTCTGGCGCCATGTTCATGGAAACCGTGGATCCTGCCGCTTTTGACGCCAAATTTTTCAACATAACTCCCCAAGATGCGATATCAATGGATCCTCAACAACGAATACTGTTAGAGGTCGTCTATGAAGCGCTCGAAAACGCTGGCATTTCTCTCGAGTCAATCTCGGGCGAGAAGTATGGCTGCTATGTGGGTGCTCACCCCGGAGGTAGGCCCATCAGCTACAGAACACTTCCTTGTAACCACATTGACCCCCATCAGATTACTGGGATATCTTCGCACGCGACCCTGATGCGCGACCGCCCAACGTAGGTATTGGGTGCTCCGGAACGATGTTGAGTTGCAGAGTGAGCCATTTCTTGAATATCAAGGGTCCCAGCATGCCCATTGATACGGCTTGCTCCAGCTCGTTAGTGGCTATGGACGTCGCTTGCAGAGCTCTGCATACTGGAGAGATCAACGGAGCAATTGTGGCAGCATCTAGCCTAATTCTCAAGTGAGTGATGACTCGATTGCGCCAATCATGTCAATGATGCTAATTTGCGCAGTCCGGAATATGCTTGCGAAGGTATGCAGGTATTCCACAGCTTGAAGCAGTCATGACTTACAGTCCTAGGTGGCACAATCAGATATACGCACTCTCCCACCGGTCGCTGTCATGTCTTCGATGCTAAGGCCGATGGCTATGTGCGAGCGGAGGGCATGAATACGGTTATTTTGA